GACTAAAAATTTAAGGTAAGGTTTTTATGTACCACCTGACATGTTACACCTTTGAAATATTGCATAGATGTATGATCTGAACCCACATATATATGCTGCAAGGGCATATAACTGTGTCATTGATTTGACATAATTACATGTATGTTGGCCCATTTCAACCTTAAATATTTCTTGCCAAGCATTGAGAGTGAGTCAGGCAAGCTGTCTTATTATAAAACAGCTCTATAATTTTCATGAATATTTTTAGATGTAAAATTTATAGAATGACGAGAATGCTTTTATTACAAGGAAGCCTTTAATTAGTGGTAAAATAACAATCTGTCAGTTAATTGACAAGTTGTCCTCAATAAAGTTCATCAGCGTTATTTATGCTCACATAGCATGCTGTTTTATGCTAGATTTAAGGCTGATTTCGGTTCATTAATATCACAATATGGTTAAGGAAAGCAAACTTTATCGCAAGACAAATATGTGACTGATTACTTGTGTGGGAGTGGGGGGGGGGGTCGGAATTTATGCTCGTAGCTTTAAGTTCATAATTGTTGTTATAAACTAAAATCTAAAATGCATTGAAATATATATATAATATATATAACCCAGTTGTCACACTGCTTTTATTTAATGGACTATTTTTACTTGCTTTGAATTCAGTCACAGCTTTCCACATATAATAAGAATTATCCAAACCCCCTTGTGGCTGAGGGGTTGCCTTTATGGGTTGAGGCATCAGTGTCCTACAGACAGCTCTAGCTTCTTGTACCTCCAATTAACGCCTTTTTCACCCCCCCCCCCCCTTTTTGTTGTCTCAAATGGTAAAAAAATGCCTTATTTAGGCCCCCAACACTTTTTTTTGTTTGAGAAACGTTGTTAAAAAAAGTGACCTCTTTTTCGACGCAGCCCCCAACCAAAAGATACATCAGGGGGTTGCCAGAAGGGGGATGTGCCCCCTTCTGTTTGGGGGATTTGAAGGGGGGAGAGTCCCCCTCATCGCCAAGAAAATTTTGGACTTGTGAGAGGCTATAAATGACCCCAGATTGATCATAAGGTAACGTGTAAGCAACGCTGAAAAGCATTTGACTCTATCTCAATCCATTGAGAAGTTGCAGAACTTTGAAATCAATTTTGATGGAAAAAATCAACGCAAAATAGTGATTTTTGGCAATTTTGAGATGTCCCCTCGTTGCCATGGTAACAGAAAATTTAAGCCTGAGCATGTTGTTGCAAGGGCAATGGTCCAGTCAACATTTGTGCCAAGTTTGATTAGTGTTGAAACAGTTGAAACAGTGAAACAGCTATAGTATTATAGCAATTTGAACTTGTAACGGGAGACTTTTCAATGAAAACAGCCATTTTTCACAAAATGCTCATGATGTAATGGGTTAAATCAACAGAATAAATGTGAAAAAAGAAGAATCAGGTTGTGGTGTAATTGAGATCTGATTTTTCTGTTGCACATGCATTGTAGCCTTATGTAGGAGTGTATACCTGTGAGAGAAATTACTATGATCCTTAATCTTCAATATAAATTTGAACATGACTGCATGCAATTATAATTGGCGATATTTTAGTACACATTTCTTGGAAAATAATCTCGTTTAATGGCTAAATCCTGGAAAAACTTGATGTTTTTTACCTTTTATAGAGCTTTTATGCCTATGTGACGAATTTCTGGAAATTAACCTTTGGAAATTTGAGACTTCAAAAGGGGCAATATATCTCCATATTGCATGGGTACAGTGAGTTTATCTTGATTACAAGTATCCACTGATAATGAGGCTTAATTGCTGATGCTTTATTTTTTTTCCATTTTACAAAATGTTATTGTCTGTGATGTATCTGTTGGTGCTAAGATTTTTGTATAATTATATATTTAAACAAACTCTAACAGTGTGATTGTTATATCATTTTTGATTTTGTTCATTTAAATTTAAATTATATGTAAAGGGGCATGGTATGACCAGAAATGTGACAGTGTCATTCACTCTTGTTAAGCCCACAACAAACAAAACCATATTTGAGAGAATTTGACCAATAAGTATTTTGATAATACTTGAACTATAAAGGAAATTCAGGTTTTTCTTAAAAATATATTTTAAGTGGGATTATTTTTGGTGTCAGTGTGGGAAGAAGGGAAAAAATGAGTCCCCATCAATATGCAATTTTTTCTCTTCCACCCATTTCCTAAAAAATTCCCTTTACTTTGAACCAGAAGGTGGAAAATTTCACCTTTTGCTTGGATCCATACCCTGAAATTTTCCTTCATATTACAAAAGTATTCATATCGTAAAAATTTTGAATAGTCAAGGTGGTGAATTTCTTAAATGGACTTGCCCTCATTTCATAATTAGATCTGTCCATTATCATTTCTGGTGATACGAAATGACCATTTAAGTAAAAGTTGGCTAACCAAAATTATAGAGCCTGGTCAAACTGATACATGTGGCAAATGGTAGTCATATTCGGTTCCTGTAGGACTCTCATTCCAGCTTGTATTTTATTAAAACAGTTGGTCAGAACGATACTTCACAGACAATACCTTAAAGCGTGTTAATTTTGCTTTATATTTAAGTCAGCACTTCACAGGAGTACATAGATTTCAAAATACACTTCATGACTGAAACTCTGTTTAACCCAACTAAACAAACAAAATTAAATTTATTTTTAATAATCAGTGTATATTACAAAAATAATATTTTTAAATAGATTCAAAAATTGAAATATTTGTTTTTAACCAAACTTTATATTTCTGGAGTATTACGTTACAGTGATTGTACTGGATTTAACATAAGCTTTAGAAAGGTGAATTATTTTTACAAATTAATCTAGAGAGACAGGCAATAATTCTTTCATTAATGTATTGTAGTAATTGTCTTGAAGTTTGTATGGAAATCATATAAAAACAAACAAACTTAAAATTGCTATATGATAAATTATCTTGTTATACCATTAAATTGTATTTAATTTTTTCATACTTTATATATAGCTCAAGTTGAGTAAGGAAAATTAGGCTACATGTAATTATTACTTCTGTATTTATTATGTAAATTTGATAAATTTGGATGATTTATTTTGTCCATTAAAGTTAAAGACTCATTTTGTCTTAGAAGTATTTTTTTTTAAAATTCTTTACAAATGTCAAGCATGTGTTTAATAATGTTAAAATAATGGATTTAGAGCATGTTAGATGCTTAATCACAGAGGAAAGTAGGACTGAACATGCAGTATTTATTATGTGTGGTAAAGGTAGCAAAATATCAACAAAGTCATTAAAGAACTCAGAAGTTATAATGATACCAATTGCCAAAGAGCAAAACAATCAAAAGATTTGTTCATGTCCATGTTTATGGTCAATGGGAAACTTTTTAGAATTACATGTAACAAGTTGTAGCAAAAAATAAAAATTTATGAGAAATAAAAATGATTATAAGCATTTCGGGGGACTTGATGGGCCTTAAATAAAAAAAAAGGTTTTAAAACAATGTACATGTATAAAGTTAAAGTTTTAAGCAAAAGTTTTTTTAGGAAAATCTTTAAGACACACCACATTAATGCATTCATATGGAGACTTGTATATTATAGGAACAAATTTTACAGAAATTCATTACTTACTTCAATTGCCAAAGAGCAAAACAATCAAAAGATTAGTTCATGTACATGTTTATGGTCAATGGGAAACTTTTTAGAATTACATGTAACAAGTTGTAGCAAAAAATAAAGATTTATGAGAAATAAAAATGATTATAAGCATTCCGGGGGACTTTAGATGGGCCTTAAATAAAGAAAAGGTTTTAAAAACAATGTACATGTACATGTATAAAGTTAAATTTTTAAGCAAAAGTTTTTTTAGGAAAATCTTTAAGACACACCACATTAATGCATTCATATGGCGACTTGTATAATTATAAGCAACAAATTTTACAGAAATTCATTACTTACTTCTGTCTCTAAATAAAGTGTCTATAATTTCATTTTATATTTTTATAGATATGTTACATAATTTATTATTTCATATATACTCAATGATAAGCATTTTATCAAAAATCCTATAAAAATCGACCAGCTTAGATGTTGGTCTTTTTTAAAACAAATACAAAGCAATAGAATATATTGATTCGTACATTGATAAGAAATGTTAAACGTATTTAATAAAAATGTTATTTTTGCATTCTTTCTCTTTATAAATCTTATCTAACATTTCATGCATATTAGTGAGCAATATTTTTATGTACTGTGAATTTTTAAGTTTTACAACTGCCAATAAAAAAAACACCAGTCGTTGAATGCTAGAGCAAATAAATTTTTCAAGTACTTTGTGTAGACAAATATTATTTTAAAAAGTTTTATGTTTAAGATTATGATGACTGGTTTGTAAATTTTTTTTGAACGATCTGTCAGAGTTAAAATATTTTTTACACAAACCATTATTTTTGTTTCAAAAAGGAAGTGTTAGAATGTTGGAACTAAAAATTTAATTTAAGCAACCTTTTATAATATGCCACCAGTAATAAAGCTAGGCCAGGCTGTATAATTCTTTGCTGTCTCACTGACCAGGATCAATACTGTTGGCTGATGAATTTTATAAAATTTGCTCTTACATATTAAAATGATTATAGTTTTGAAAAGTGAAACCTGAGGACAAGTTCATTAAATAAATTCAGCAATTTGAATTGGTTATGAAAGAGATTATCATACTCATACAGTTTACTTACTGAATTCATGTAATGGATTAAAGTGCCCTGCTATGAAAGTGGACCCGTCCATTCAAATTTAAAGGAATTTCAATTACAAAATAAAAATGTTAATATTAAGCTTAACTGAACAGTAAACAGAGCCTGGTCAGACAACACAAATGAGCAGACTGACCAGTGGCTCTATACTGGTAGGAAAGCTCATCAGATGCATTTACGCAACAGGACAAGAGCTAAACACATGATCTTATAACATCAGTATAATTATGTAGAATTATATAGTATAACACAAAGTATTTTTTTCTTCTTCAGGAGGACAATAGAAATGAATGAAGAACCAAGGGTAAAATGGACATAAAAAGGCTTATAAGAACATCATGAGCAGAATAATCTTATCAATTAACTCATCTGAGCCTGTTTGAAAGGTGTTTATAAATTTTGTAGTACTGTTAGACTAAGAAGAGAGAAAAATACAAAATGTCGGCAATGTTTCGCATGTACGATCAATACAGTAGTGAGATCCAGTTTTCGGAACTGAAGAACCCAGAGGAATCATGGGAACTTTTGGATCTCATTGGCGAAGGAACATATGGAGAGGTTTACTCAGCAAAAAACAAACAGACTGGTAATGTTTTATTACATTTTTAAGATCCTTCATATCATATGTCATAAACTCATGAAAATTTCATGCCATATAATTATCTTCAAATCATGGAAATGTCATGTCTGTCTAACATCAATAATGCAGGGAAATTATCGTGTTTTTATATCATAAACTCAGGGAAATTATCATGTCTTTATAATTATAATATTAAACCTAAGGGAATTATCATGTCTTTGTATTATAAACTCAAGGGAATTATCATGTCTTTATATCATAAACTCGAGGAAATTATCATGTCTTTATATCATAAACATGGGAAATTATCATGTCTTTATATCATAAACTCGGGGAAATTATCATGTCTTTATATCATTAACTCAGGAAATTATCATGGCTTTATATCATAAACTCAGGAAATTATCATGTCTGTATATGATAAACTTTGGGAATTATCATGTCTTTATATCATAAACTCAAGGAAATTATCATGTCTTTATATCATAAACTCAGGGAATTATCATGTATTTGTATCATAAACAGTTAAACTCTGGGAAATTATCAAGTCTTTATATCATAAACTCAGGGAATTATCATGTCTTTATAGCATTAACTCAGGGAATTATCATGTCTTTATATCATAAACTCAGGGAATTATCATGTTTTTGTACTATAAGCTTGGGGAATTAGTATGCTTTTATATCATAAACTCAGGGAAATATCTTGTCTTATGCTCATGGAAATATATATAAATATCTTGGATTGTGTCATAAACTCATGGAAGTATCATATATCATAATATACTCATTGAATTATCAGGTATTATACAATAATTATAATAAGAAAATTTAGTGAATTTGCATGTTTCAAAATGTTTTATAAATGGAAACCATGTCATATATAAATGCTCTTGACCACTGAGCCAACAATCTGATACCCTGATGCTTTTATCAGAGTAAACTGCATGAATTAGTCAGTACTCCAGATCAGTGTGCACTCAAATGTAACATTATCCACTCATGAAAACAAAAATTGCATTAGTTAAGGTTGGCAATAATTCAAACACTGTTTTATTTTATAGGCGAGATAGCAGCTGTGAAGATTTTAGAGTCTATCCATGAAATAATTGAAGAAATAGAAGAGGAATACAAAATTCTTAGAGATTTTAACGATCATCCAAATATGCCAAAGTTTTACGGGTTATATTTAAAAGTGGGAGATACTGGGACCGATGATCAGCTGTGGATGGTGATGGAGGTAAGAAAAATATACTTGATAAATTTTAATATATTTCAGACTGGGTCCAAAACATATTTTGCTACAGAGGTAAATTGGGCATAAATTAAGGTGGCACAGTCTGTCAGTCCTTGTGACTTGCTCACATATTTCAGACTGAATTCTACTTTGATAATTTTGGGCATTATTTAAGGTGGCACAGTCTGTCAGGTACATGTGACTAGCTTTCATATTTTGTCTCAGCAGGAAAATTAGTGATGCAAACAGGAAGGGACCAGTAATTTCTTGAGGAACTAATTTCTTGAACTTGAATGTCAAGGTCCAGTGTGAAGGCAAATTATTCATCCCTAGGTAAATTTTCTCTGCTGATTTTACAATTGCTTAGTGCAAAATTTGAAATTGTGGCCTCATTTGAAAGTCATTTGTTCTTTTATTTTTGTTTTTTTAGCACTGTGGACGGGGATCCGTGACAGACTTGGCCAAGTATATAATTGACACAGGGAAGAAGATGGATGAAACCATGCTAGCCTATATACTGAGGGAAACATTACTTGTAAGGCTGTTTTATCAATTTTTTATCCCCCGCCGATGAAATCGGGAGGGGGATATAGTTTTGGCGTTGTCCGTCCGTCCGTCCATCCGTCCGTCCGAATTTCGTTTCCGGAGTAGTTCTCTGCAACTACTTGCTGGAATTCAATGAAACTTTATGGGAATCATCAATATCAAGAGGAGATGCCCATATCGTCGGCTTGTTCCGGTCCGACCCTTTAACTCAGAGTTATGGCCCTTGATTAGTTATGTAGTATGCATATAGAGTAAAAATCGTTTCCGGAGTAGTTCTCTGCAACTATTGGCTGGAATTCAACGAAACTTTATGAAAATCATCAATATCAAGAGCAGATGCGCATATCGTTGGCTTGTTTCGGTCAGACACTTTAACTCAGAGTTATGGCCCTTGATTAGTTATGTAGTATGCATATAGAGTAAAAATCGTTTCCGCACTACATCTCTGCAACTACTGGCTGGAATTCAACGAAACTTTATGGGAATCATCAATACCAAGAGGAGATGCGCATATCGTCGGCTTGTTCCGGTCAGACACTTTAACTCAGAGTTATGGCCCTTGATTAGTTATGCAATATGCATATGGAGTAAAAATTGTTTCATCGCTACTTCTCTGCAACTACTGGCTAGAATTCAACGAAACTTTATGTGAACCTTCAATACCAAGAGGAGATGCGCATATCGTCGGCTTGTTTGGGTCAGACACTTTAACTCAGAGTTATGGCCCTTGATTAGTTATGCAATATGCATATGGAGTAAAAATCGTTTCCGGAGTAGTTCTCTGCAACTACTGGCTGGAATTCAACGCAACTTTATGGGAATCATCAATATCAAGAGGAGATGCGCATATCGTCGGCTTGTTCTGGTCAGACCCTTTAACTCAGAGTTATGGCCCTTGATTAGTTATGTTGTATGCATATAGAGTAAAAATCGTTTCCGCACTACTTCTCTGCAACTACTGACTGGAATTCAACGAAACTTTATAGGAACCTTCAATACCAAGAGGAGATGCGCATATCGTCGGCTTGTTCCGGTCAGACACTTTAACTCAGAGTTATGGCCCTTGATTAGTTATGCAGTATCCATATAGAAAAATATTTGTTCCTCGCTACTTCTCTGCTACTACTGGCTGGAATTCAATGAAACTTTATGGGATACTGAGAGGAGATGTGCATATAGTCGCCTTGTTCCAGTCAGATACTTATAACTCAGATTTATGGCCCTTGATTAGTTATGTAGTATGCATACATCTCATTGGCATTTCCAGATTTTACTATTTAACACAAAGTTATGGCTCTGTTATTGCCCTGAATATTTATCAAGTTCAAAGAATATTACTGTTTATGCCATGATTAATATATAAATAAAGCCTTATGTCTTCAGTTGTTGTGTTAATAATAACCAGTCCTCGGCGGGGCATATATTGAATTCAACGAATTTGCTTGTTTGACCTTTGAACTGCATAATCTTGTTATATTAAAGGTCCCCGTAGCTTAATATTTTAGGAGTGTACACAATATCATTTGCCCGTCGCCAATGTTGAGTTTGAATCCCACTAGAGGCGTTGACTTCTTTCTTGTGAGAAAGCTACATGTATCTTACAATGAAGCTTACTTGACTGTGTAAAGGTAACCGGTTCAAACCAGTTGCCTGTTTCTGCAGAAATTTAACATGAAATATATCATTTTAATATCACTAAAAGTGCCAGCATAATGAAAAACTTAACCAATAAGTAAAAACAAAAATAATATGATCTTTAAGCAATATCTGATTTTATATCTTGGGAGAGAAAAAATGAAAGAAAGAGATAGCATAACGGTTATTGGATTTTATTGAATTTCATTGGATAAGATTCTATTTTAAAAGCATATACGTTGTCTTTCATGTACATGTTTGTTTGATTGGTAAATCTTTTGATCAAGAAAAAATATTTAATTAATTTGTCATAACTTGAAATGGTAAATAGTTTATGATTCTACTGGGAAATTTATCTTGGTGAGAAAGAGAGAATTAAAATGTCTCTGTTTTAATATCAAACTGAAAATTCTGCAACAAAACTGCTGATAAATAAAGTAAATGATTGACGTGTTCAATTTTAGAATTCTTTATTTGACATGTTTGCATATCATGATTTTCCCTGTATTGTCATATACAATGCACATATTTGAAATCTCCGTAGTGTTGTTTTGAAAGATAATGAAATTTTCATTAAGTCTTGAATGAGTTCATTTATTATCACTGGTTTAGTTTTTATTATGATTTGATAGGTATACATGACTGATGAATAGCCCCCCTGTTGCTGACAAATATGTTGTAGTTAAAGATATACTATGCTCAAATTTGATATTAGAAAATATTGATAATTGCTACATAGTCTCTTTGTAAATATAAAATAAACATGTTTTGAGTTCACAATAAGTAGATATATTATTAGTCCCCTACCGGTTTAACCGGAGGGGACTTTAAGTTTACCCTCCGTCCGTCTGTCTGTCCGTCCGTCTGTCTGTCCATCTGTCCGTCCGTCAGTCCGTCCGTCCACAAAACTGGATCCCGCGATAACGCAAAAAGTACTGAAAATATTTTTATGAAACTTGATATATGGATAGATGGCAGTATGGAGATTATGCACGTCTTTTTCTTTTCTTCCTATGTTGAAAATTCTGGTTGCTATGGCAACAAATAGTCTGAAAATATGGCAAATTTAACACATAAACTGGATCCAGTGATAACTTAAAAAGTACTGAAAATATTTTTATGAAACTTAAAATATGGATAGATGGCAGTCTGGAGATTATGCACATCTTTTTCTTTTCTTCCTATGTTGAAAATTCTGGTTGCTATGGCAACAAATAGCCTGAATTTCAAGATTTCTGATTTAAATTTTTCAGCCTTTTCACTATAAGTTCTTTATTTCTTAAGGTGTTTACTTCAAACTTTAAATATAAGTTTCTGGTCATCAACCACATCATATGTGACAAGGTTTACAACTCTAGCACAAAAATTATCAGTATTACTTACCTTGAACTTAGACTTTTTATGGAAAAAAAAGTTGTCTTTTTTAAATAACTTCTTTATTTCCTAATGTATCTACTTCAAACTTCATATATATGTTTCTTATTATCACTTAACATTTTTGAGAAGGTTAAATACTCAAGCAAGACTATTTCCAGAATTATGTCCCCTTTGAACTTAGATTTTTTTCGAGAAATTGGTATTTTTCACTCCACCTTCTTCATTCCTTATAGGATTACTTTAAAATCCCACATTGTAATAATATGACAAGGTTGTATAAACATAATTTCCTTACTAGGCAGGGAAACTTAACACATTTTTTAACTGTGATATAGACAAACTTAGAACTCAAAAGATATAAGTTCATTCATGTCATTCATTCACTGGTAAAATTGAATGGCCAATGGCCCATCAGAATGTTGCTGGGGTTCTTACCGGTAGGGGACTTATGGATTGCTTGCAATACTATGATAATTGCTTGTGTTTAAATTAAATTCTACACACTATTGGTGGCAACAATTATGAGTATATGATGTCATGAAAAAAACTGGCAGTTTTTTAAAGAAAATAATAACTTTCCTTGACCTGTATTAGGGAACACATGTCAGATACTCATACATTGTTTATTCATGCTTTTACTCAAATTAGGCATATTCAATAATAGGAATTTCATAAATTTCAAAAAATTTCTGCGATTAAAATATTTTACTAAGAATGAGCATAGCATATCTTAAAATGACAAAAGCATCATAGTGCTGTCTTCTGTCAGTTACTCTACTTGTAATAGGGTTGGTGAGCGAACAGCATGGATCCTGATCAGACTGCACTGATGGGCAGGCTGGTCTGGATCCATGCTGGTCGCAAACACTTAATGTTGGTTTTGTCATGGCAAATATTGTGTTTTGTAGGTGCTGATGTTTTTCCACAAGAATCACATCATTCACAGAGATGTCAAAGGTCACAACATTCTGATGACAGATCAAGGCAACATTAAATTGATAGACTTTGGTAAGATATTTACACACAGTTGTACAAAGATGGAAAATTACACTCGTCCTCTCGTATTTATGAGCAAAATTTAAGAGAACTTGATAAGTGTTGGGTAGAAGAATGTTGCCGTCACATAGGATTTAGAAGCTAATCATCCTGCAGGACGCGTGACTCTGAAAATGTTTTCTGATTCCTGTTCTAAGCTAACAAAAAATTTTTTTCTGAAGGAGCATATTGATTTATTGATTTATTACTATTTATTTTATTTGTCCTTCTGTTTTTCGAACTCACCTGTGCATACTTGTGTAAAAACAGTAAAACTATTCATCATGTAGCTTTTAGAAGGCTATAAATTCTCTTCTTTGGGTTTGTCTGTGACTCGGACCACTGGCCTCTAATCGCTGTGGTTCAAATCCAGACAGTGACTTTGGATTCTTTTATGTGAGGAAGCTATCAAACTAGCTTAGGGAACATCGGTGGTTCTACTAAGGTACCTGTTTTTGCCTGAAATAATGCACGGAAGGGCAACTGAGATCTTCCTCTGCCAGTAAAGCTGGAAAGTCACCATATGACCTATACTGTGCTGGTGCGACGTAAAACCCAACGGAAAAAAAAACACTTATGTAGAACAATAGGGGTACCCTGTCACACTATGCATTTCTTGTAGTGCCTTTATTAGTCCCCTACCGGTTTACCGGAGGGGACTTTAGGTTTACCCTCCGTCTGTCTGTCCGTCCGTCCGTCTGTCCGTCTGTCTGTCCGTCCGTCCGTCTGTCTGTCAGTCCGTCAGTCCGTCCGTCCACAAAACTGGATCCCGCGATAACTTGAAAAGTACTGAAAATATTTTTATGAAACTTGATATATGGATAGATGGCAGTATGGAGATTATGCACGTCTTTTTCTTTTCTTCCTATGTTGAAAATTCTGGTTGCTATGGCAACAAATAGGCTGAAAATATGGCAAATTTTACACATAAACTGGATCCAGTGATAACGCAAAAAGTACTGGAAATATTTTTATGAAACTTGATATATGGATAGATGGCAGTATGGAGATTATGCACGTCTTTTTCTTTTCTTCCTATGTTGAAAATTCTGGTTGCTATGGCAACACATAGACTGAAAATATGGCAAATTTTACACATAAACTGAATCCAGTGATAACTCAAAAAGTACTGGAAATATTTTTATGAAACTTGACATATGGGTAGATGGCAGTCTTGAGATTATGCATGTCTTATCTGTTCTTCCTATTTTGAAAAAATATTGGTTGCCTTGGCAACAAATAGGCTTAAAACATGGCAAATATAACAATATTTGTGATTAGTCAAAAAGAGCTGAAACTTTTTATGAAATTGCATCTTTAATTCCAGAGTTATCTCCTCTTTAAGAATTTTGCTTTTTAAAATGTTATATTTTGGTAACAGGGATGTTTCAAATATTAACTTTAGAGTGTCCTTCAGTCCGTCTGTCTGTCTGTTCATAAAAACTTTTTCCTGTGATCACTTTTAAAGAACATTTCCAACAAATTTACTTAAAATAGAGAAAAATTTACACATTAGTGAATGGCCAATGGCCCTTCAGAATGCTGATGGGGTTCTATCCGGTAGGGGACTTATGGATTGCTTGCAATACTATGATAATTGCTTGTTAGTTGTATTATTACCTCATATTGTTAGTTTTGCATGATCTGAGTGGAAAAAATAAATTGACATTAAGGACCTACTTCATAAACTTCCTTGCATGACCTAGCCTTAAGCAGTTATGAGGTTGATTGAGTCAAGGTCAAGGTCAATGGGAATAAAATAGATTTTAGCCTGTGTGATGCTTGTTTTCAAATAGCTTAATGTATGATATTAATGTATGCATTCAATCCTTAGTTAGTAATGTTTGATAGATAGTACTGTTCAAAAGTAAGTACTGTTTGATAGATGGTACTGTTCAAAAGTTAGTACTGTTTGAGAGATGGTACCATTAAAAAATTAGTACTGTTTGAAAAATGGTATGTTTGAACAATGGTATGGTAGGACTAAAATTGACTTTCTATATTTTTAATAAGCAAAATATATTTCAGGCGTGTCTGGACATTTAAAGTCTACATTAGACAAAAAGAAAACTTCTGTTGGAACACCATATTGGATGGCTCCAGAGGTAATGTTTATGTTAACTGTAACATCTATATTGCTTAGATACTCTTAAAGGAACTCCACTGAGATCCAGGGCGTCCGTGGCCGAGTGGTTATATAGGGTCGTTGACTTCAAATCACTCGCCCCTCACCGCTGTGGGTTCGAATCCGGACAGGGACTTTTGATTCTTTCCAGCTAGCTTACGGAACATCTGTAGTTCTACTCAGGTGCCTGTTTGTGCATGAAATAATGCACGGAGGGGCATCTGAGGTTTTCCTCCACCAGTAAAGCTGGAACGTCCTCCATATGACCTTTACTGTGTCGGTGTGACGTAAAACCCAATTAAACAAACAAATAAACAACTGAGGTCCAAAAGCTTAAAAACATAAAATTTGAATTTCTTACAAAGATCAAACAGACAAATATACATAAAAGATATTTTAAAAAATGTACTCTGAATAAATTGAAAATCATATTTTTGTGCTATTTTAGCCTGTTTTGAGTGAAAAGCGTTGCAATGTTTTTTTAATTTGTATTTCACCTTGAACATATTATTGGAGATGCTGGTTATAATTCATTTTTTCCGCATTAAGAGGGATAACATTATAATGCAAGTTTCTGTTTATAGTAAAAAAAATGTGTTTTGAGTTCTTTCTTTTAAAATTGTTTGGTCATTAAGTTTTTGCTGAAATTTACAGGTGATAGCATGTGAACGACAACTTGAGTACAACTATGACATCAGATGTGATATTTGGTCACTAGGTATCACAGCCATAGAGCTGATGGATGGAGCTCCCCCATTGGCTGACAAACATCCAATGAGAGCACTGTTTAGAATTCCAAGGTAAGTCCAACCAATCAAATACAATTGATGATCAGGGTTTTTGTTTTGAAAGTCACAGAGCTGATCTATTGATCAGTCCCATTGGCAGGTAGGAAGTGGCACATGGATTATAAAATTTATTTTAGCTTCTGTTCAGACTTTGTAAGGCATTAAGTATTCCCTATTGCAAATATTTTTGTGCTTTACAACCTTAAAGCAGTATGCCTCCAGATTTATGCTAATTTTCATGAAAATATTGAAAATGTATTAAAAAGTAAAGTATTGTGAAGTGAACAAGAAAAATAATTTCCACATTGGAAACGGCACAATCCATGTAAATTACTTAAATTGAGGTCAACATATGCAGATTTAGCCGTTACTGCGTTAGTCACACACATGCAGTAGAAATATGGTGATAGATACTGCAAAATCAGTCATTTGAACCAAATATCATATGTAAATTAATATTTAAATCTTGTGTCAATGGAAGAGAATGAATAGCTGTCCCTTTTTGCAAAAAATGTTTTCAATTTTACTAGATGTATGTATAGGTTATATACAAGAGTTTTAAGAAATTAATTTTTGAGCGAACGAAGTGAAGCGAGAAAATTAGTTTCTTAAAACTCTGTATATAACCTATAACCGACTTACAGTTAGCCCCGCCTATTCAAATCGAGTGCACTATGTAAGTAGGTGGAGTCCATTAAATTGGCTCATTTAACATATAAATGTAATACATACAGTTGAGTTACTGCACTGTATGGAAAATACTTCAGCAAAATTTAAACAAAATAGAGCGATTTCATTGGCAGACAAACTTTGGCGAAATGTAAGATTCCTATCGATTTGAAGTAAATTTGAACTAATTTGAATAAAAATGTAGAATCGTTTCACTTGTTGCAGAAACCCACCACCAAAGATGAAGAATCCTGAAGACTGGTCAGAAAATTGCAGGGACTTTATTTCAAGGTAAAATTAAAATTTTAATTGAACATTGTCATTTATTTAGATGAATAATTATATCTGTTATGTGACTTTTGAATTAAAGTTCAGTTAAATACAAAACTTAACTTTAACTTGTTGTTAGTTGGAATTAAATCAAAGTATTCAACTTCCAAAAATGATTTATTGCAGAATGATGATTGGTTTAGTATATACTTAAATAAAATGGGGTTGAATGATAAAAAATCATTCTTGAATAATAACACAACTTTAGCATATAACCCATTCCAATGAAGAAAAGAATAAAGAAAAAGTTCTTGTATTGATTTTAAAAAAAAAGAAGTTCTTTAATGCTTTCGAAATTGTAATAATTTGAATGAAACATGTGATTTTTAGATGCCTAAACAAAGACTATGAACAGAGACCTTTTACCTGGGACCTTCTGGAGCATCCATTCATAAAACAAGTTCCTGAGGATGGTACTAAGGTAAGACAGAAGAAAAGCCTGGAAGTTCATCCACTTTTTTGCGGTTTGGGTTGTCTGAACTTCTCAGTGAATATAGTTGCTTTAGAATTTCTTACTTAGATATCTTCCTCCCATTATACTGCCACAAGCACATTCATTTATTAAATGCAGTCTTATATATTTGCTATGCTGGTTATATACCTGTTATGAATCTCTACCCATATTTCAAGTTGTTTGAATCAAGGTAACTGTACAAATAGTTTTTTTTCTACTATGCTTTTTTCAACCATGCCTTTATAGAAAGGTTTTGTCAAAGTATCTCTTCTGAACAATTTTAAAAAATGATTAAAACATTTCTCAACAAAATGTATCTTTGTAATTGGAAGCATGTTTAAAGGCGAAATTACATTTAAAGATGTATGCAAGCATCCTCTTTTCAATTTAGGTACTTCTGTAAGATTTTTGTCTCAGCTAAAAGTAATTGTTTTATGCCACAAAGCTTTACACCTTTTAAGCTCAGGTTGTGATAAGATTATTCTAGCTATCTAGAAAATTTTCATTATGATTTGTTATTTTATGCATATTTTATTTTATTTATAATCACAATTTATATCTTACAGCTTAAAGAACAGTTGGTTTACCTAACATCGCAAGTAGAACGTATAATACACGAGCCTGACGTAACTACCAAACAGGGAAGACTGAAGTCCCGGAAGAGTAGACCGGGTCCACCAAACACAACAAATGATCTCACACAACTGGAGGTCCTTGATGAGGTAAAAAATATTTCCTGAGCTATTTATATACTTATAGGAACTCCTCTTTCATACATAGATCACCTGGTGTAATTAAAATAGAAAGATGAGCAAAAGATAATTAAGAAATATATTGAGAAATAGATTGAAAATAATATTTTTGTGTTATTCTCAGCCCTTATTTGAGTGATAAGTGTTAAAACACTTCTCAATTTTGGATCACTTTTCACAAAAAGAATAATTATTCTGGAAAAACGGAGTGAGCGGGTGATCTGAAATTTTTTCACACGAGTTATTGGCATAGCTCTACATCAAATTGAAGATTTATGTCAAAAAATTATTCCCAGTCCTGTCATGTCAAATAACCACAGTTGAGTCCCTTTAATACAAAACATAACTAACACTCAATCTTTTAGAATCCCAATGAATTTTGTTTTCTCAAACCATTGATTAAAAACCCTGTTAATGCAAAACCATTATTTTGACACTGTTTACAGCCGCATGCCTCCAGATTCCTACAAATTTTCTTGAACATTTTAAAAATTTATTAATAGGGAAAATATTGTGAAGTGAACAAAGAAAATAATTTACACATGGCAAACAGCACTGACAAACCATGTAAAAAAGTTAAAAAAAACTAAAAAGAGGTCAAAATATGCAAAAGTAGCCATTATTGCATAAGTAAGAAACAGTAGAAACATGGTGAAAAAATACTGTAAAATCAGTCATTAATTGCATAATATGAAATTTTTATTTTTATATTTTCACTTTTCATAAAATCTCTGTACATTTATCTCAAGTTTGATTGTCTTGAAATACTTTTCCTCATCTGGAGGCATGCAGCTTCAACATTTGAAACCGAATATTTCAGGAATCGATAGTGGCGCAGCTGTTCACACGTTATACTCAAGCAATCATTTACACCTATATTGGAGACATCTTATTGGCGGTGAATCCATTCTCCTCCCTTACCATTTATAATGAAGAGCATTCCAGGATGTACATGAACGCTGCCAAGGGAGATCACCCTCCACATATATTTGCTATAGCTGATCAGGCCTACCAGATGATGGTTCATCAGAAAAAACATCAGGTATGATTTATGACCTATGGTCAGTTTGTCACATGACTTTGCTTGTTTTCAATGTAATATAATTTGTTCAATGTTTTAATACCCATGCTTGATGAAATTCATCATGATGTTGTATACTCTGTAAAAGCAATGGGTGAAGTTAAACCATTTGGTTATTATTGCCACTTTTTTACTTTTTCTGACTTAGAAAATTATGCGATAAATATGCGTCCGAGAAGTGCGAGTCATGCACTCATTCTTTTCTTCCAACACACAAGTTTTCTCAATTAGATTTTAAAGCAGCATGTCTCCAGATTCATACTTATTTTCATGAAAATTTTGAAAATGTATTTAAAAGTAAAATATTGTTAAGTGAACAAAGAAAGTAATCTACACATTGCAAACAGCGCTTACATTTCACGTAAACTACCAAAAAGAGGTCAAAATATACATAAATACCTCTTACTGTGTTAGTAACGCAGTAGAATTTAAGGGATTGATACTGCAAAATCAGTCATTATCGCACATATTGTAAATAATTCATTAAGTACTGAATCTTTTTACATTTCTTAAGATCTTATTACATTTTTCTAAAGATTGAATTTCTTGAAATATTTTGGCTCATCTGGAGGCGTGCAGCTTTAATGAATAGATTGTTTATTCATTAGTTTTCTACTTTTCATCTTGGTATGACATATTTTGCTCCTAAGCTATATCATACTTATTTATATGTAAATTTAAGGTAAAAATTAAACTGGTTTTTATGTAATTTACATTTAAAGGTATTTTGTTTTGTTTACAGTGTATTGTTATCAGTGGTGAGTCGGGAGCTGGGAAGACCATGAGTGCAAACTTCCTTGTACAACAACTTACACAGCTTGGCAAGGTAAATATCTAATCTCTCCCTTTGGACAAGAACCTCATTTACTGAACGATTATGACCTTGACTCTTAAATGACCCTGACATTAAAGGTCATATTTTCAGGAGGACAAAAATAAAATATCTAATCTCTACCTCCGGACTAGAACTTCTTTTACTGAAGGATTATGACATTGACTCTTAAATGACCATGACATTAAAAGTAAAATTTTCGAAAGTACGAAAATGAAAATATCTTGTCTTGACCTCTAGGCAAGAGCTTCATTTACTGAAGGATTATGACCTTGACTCCTAAATGACCCTGACATTTAAGGTCAAATTTTCAAAAGTACAAATAAAAATATTTAATCTCTACTTCTGGACAAGAACTTCATTTACTGAAGGATTATGACCTTGACTACTAAATAATCCTGACATTTAGGGTCAAATTTTTAAAAATTCAAATTTGAAAAATAATCAAACTCTTTAGAAAGCTTAATTTGGAATATTAAGATATGACCTTGGCCTTCTTGGTTTAAAGTACAAAAATGTGTCCATAATTTTGTTATTCTTCAACTTTTTTGTGGCATTGTAGCATTATATTTTAGCAAATGCATCTTGCTTTGATTGGTTCAATGTTTTGATTTTAATTTTTAGCTTGAATATTTGAAGAAAAGGGGTAGCTATTGAACAAACTTTTATGTCAGCATAATAATAGTATAAAAGGAGGTCCTAGGCCCATATAACACTTACATGTGTTTTGACAGAATTATGGCCGTTTTTGAACTTATAAAATTCTACATAATCCAGGCACTTGTTTTATGATCAAGCATTGCGAATAGTTGAGCACATTTACCTAATGACAGCTCTTTTATTAAGTTTGCATGTGTCTTTATTGATGATCCTTTTATTAGAAATTCAATAATTGTTTTTATTCAAGGCTCCTAATCGTGATTTGGAAGAGAGGATCTTACAGGTTAACCCATTAATGGAAGCATTTGGTAATGCAAAAACTGTGATCAATGATAACTCTAGTAGGTTTGGAAAATATCTGGAAATGTTCTTCACTGAGAATGGTACAGTAACTGGAGGTAAGAAATATATCTATTTCCAGGGATTCATTAGTTGTTTTGAGATTTGCATTATAATCGTGAACAATTATGTATTTGAAAATGTTACTCAGTCATAAAAATGCTAAGACTCTGATTGGTTGATTTGAAATATGTTAAATGACAAAATATAACAAAATATGTACTTGATAATGTTACTTAATCATAAATTGAAGCATTTAATTGGTCGATTTCAAATTTCAAACGCGACCAATCATAAATTTGAAAGTTTGAAAGTGTTTCTCACTTTTAAAGCTAAGCATTTGATCAGTGGATTTCAATTTTGAATAATTATCATAGCAGTTATATTCCTGCATTGGTATACAAATTTAGTTTGAAAGGAAAAGGTAACATTATGGTTAAAATGATTGTCTCTTAACCAAGGGATGGTGGACTGGAGCTATATAGTAAATGAAACACATAAGGGTATAATAATACTGAATAAAACTTGACTCTAGAGTTGTGTCATTAAGCTCTTGTTTATTAGATTGAAGATAATGCCATATTAGCCATTTTAAAATGTTTTATGATATATTCTATCAACTTACATTAATATTTTACAGCTAAAATCACAGAATACCTTCTAGAGAAGTCAAGAGTTATCTTTCAAGCGCAGTAAGTCAAACTTATATTCTCAAACTTAGCTTCTAGCATAGACTTTCAACATGGGCTTCTGTGAAAACGTTTTTCAAAATACGTTGCATGACAAAATTACATAATTTAACAGAAAAATACTTTTTTCAATAAAATATGGTTCAGGGTGTGATAAAAATCATATAGGGTCATATAACCTGTCAAGAATCTTTATTACCAATTTATAATACAGCAAACTTTTTTTATCTGGAGAATAAAATGAGATTTATTCATAAATTGAATGCAGCCATGTTTATAAAACTATATGAACATCATGATTATCCAATGAAAAATGATGTTACAAACATGCAGGATTATACATGATATTTATAACCCTTGGTATAACAGACAAAGCTATTTATATAGACCATGGTAGGGTTGCATGATTTTCAATATTTCCGAGTCTCACATATATGGTCAAACTTGTTTATAAAGACATTGTTCAGGAAATGAGGTCAGTGTTGATAATTATTAGCCTGTATGCTACTGGCCAGTCTCGAACTTATACAGTCTGACTTAACTGTACATTTTAAAAGTTAAAATCCATTGCATTAACAATGCATTTACCAAAATAAAAAGTGGGGCATGATTTACATGGTAAAAGTCAAGAGTTGCTAGAACAGGTGTCTTTAACATTCATTTTCTATGTTGTTTACTAAATTCTCAAGATACATTGTACTAGTTTAGTTTAAGAATTCAATTTTACACTTAATTTTTTTCTGGTGCACTGACTTTTATATGTTTTGTTTCAAAATATTACATAAAAATATTGTTTGAAGTCTCCTGGTAAAAAACAAAAACATACAAACATACAATTTGCAGGAATGTTTGTAAACAGTTTATACACTTGTAATTATTTAACTACGCATATTTCTTGAATATTTACTTAACAACAGAACTTCAAAGAACAACTTTTACATTTTAGATGTATTTAAAACATTGTAAAGATATTGTAAATATATTGTAAATAATTAATATTTCAATGGAAAACACAACTTTATAGTGTTAATTCTTTTCTTCTCTTGTTATCATGAAATGTTTATTACACAGTTAATTTCACATGACAAGCTTGTATTAATTCACTTGAGTAAAGTTATAAAGATGATATTATGATGTAATGCTATGCTTAAATAATTTTGTTTTTGCATGTTTCAATGTTTTGAGTTATTGCCTGAAATGAATATTTTGTACAGACTTTAATTTGTGCATATTTTATTGACTTAGCTGCATTATATAGACATAATTTTATTTATGCATTGTAATTTTGGCTATCCAGCCAGTTGACCCTACTGGTCTATTCATTATCATACACACACTGTTTTGTACACAAAAGAGTTTTAAATAGGAGTTGCAACTATGTTGCCTAGTGGTTCAGGTGTTTGCCTCTCAACCCAGGGATCAAGGGTTCTAGTTCAAGTATTGGTCATGACTATGTTTTTTTTCCATATGACACCAATACTGGTTGGTTTCCAGAGTGATTAATATAAGTTGCAAGTACTTATTTCGAATCGAGCGTAAATAAATATGTTTAAACCAAATAGGAATTGTGAACAATAATGTTTTATTCTTCTTTTACAGGGGTGAACAGAATTTTCACATATTTTACTACGTACATGATGGGTTGCCAAGTGAGGATAGGAGCCACAAATATCATCTTCATGAGAATGCAACATACAGGTAGGTAACTCTGATTGCAGTGTGCTGGTAAATATTAATATCCACAGCACAGTCCCTTTGAAGTTTTAGAATTTTTGACTCATTATCCATGGGTGTTTCTCTGATTACATGAGAATGCAACTTACAGGCAGATAACTCTGATTGGTGTGCTGGTAGATACTAATATCCACAATTAACTTCCCTTTGATTTGAGAATGTTTGGCTCCTTAATCATAGGCATTTCTCTTATTTTAAAATTTTTAATAATTTCTAACATGATGGTCTTGCTGTTTGTTCAATGATTGTTAAATAGGGATTTACTTTTCAAGTTGTCAAAATGAGAAATAAAAGAAGTGCAAAGACGTGGAATTGTTTTCAGTTTAAATTGTATAACATTTAGCATTCTATATGACTTCATTTGTGCTGATCTCGAAAACTTTCCATTTATTTAAAATTCCCAGTATTTATAAAATCAATGTATCAGATTTATAAATCTTTTTTTTAGCTATACCAATTTGATAAGTGGGTAAACATTAAAATTTGAACTTAAAATGTTTTTTTCCTGGAAAGGCATTTTATCTATACAGTTGGAATGTTACGTTTCAGATACATAAGTGAGCATAGTAGTTCCCAGCCAGAGATGGTGACAGTGTCTGTAAACAGGGTCAAGTTCAAGGCTATTCAACATTGCTTCAGCATCATTGGGTTCAAAGAGGAGGTAAGTCATGTAGTTTTTTACTTATAAGGGGCATCTTTGGCTGACTGGTTAAAGTTGTTGGTTTCAAACCACTTGTCCCTTACGGCTGCGTGTTCCATTTCCAACAGGGACTTTGGATCCTTTCATGTAAGTTACCGAGCTATCTTGCAGAACATCAGTGGACCTACTCAGGTGCCCGTTTATGCCTGAAAAAATTCGCAAAGAGGCACATGAGATTGTCCTCCATCAGTAAAGCTGAAAAGCTGCCGTTTGACCTATACTGTGTTGGTGCAGAAAAAAAAAACAAAAAAAAAACCAACATTGTGTTTGGGTATTTTAGTCAAGCCTTCACAGTTAAAGACATATGGCAACTGTTTGGAGGTAAAGAGCAAGCACTTTGGTAGAACCACACATCTGCTGTGAGCTACCTGGTAAGGGGATAATTTATAATCATTAATATCAGGTGGAAATGCAATCTTTAGTAGAAATGAGTTAAGTTTATAAAAGTCAGGGATCATGAGGATTTTTGAAAAGAAAAAAAAAGCAAACAAAAACAATAAAAACAACAACAACAATATACATGAAAAGTAATGTTATTGTTTAAAGTGTTGTTATTTTAATCAAACACATGCTAACATAGGAGAGATTTTGGACAGCTGAGGTACATGTATCGATATAATATTCACGGGGTGGCTATTATTATATCTTCATAACTTATCTGTATACCATAATTATACTATCACCAAAATCAAGTTTTTGTTTACAGAAATAGGCTCAATTTTAAATAATATATCAAAATCCCAATTGAATCACCTGAAAATAAACCACTATGTGTATGGGTGTATCATATTTTCCCAGAAATATTTTCACCTCAACATATATCACAAATGTTATCACCTTTTTCTTAAAGATTACTTTATCTTACAGGCTTGGAATTAAAAAAAAAACCAAAAAACCCTATGATGATTAAAAGCACAAATATTTGTTTATATAAGAGTATGTTGGGTTGTGTTAGAAATATTAACGGCTGTCTTACTCATTTTCAGCATAGTTGTAAACATTAATAATATGATTCCATTAGAGATGGGATTATTTTTGCTATACTTGATTCAAATTTAGTTAAGGTTGATGATAGGGGTGTCATGTTTATCCTTTAGCCAAAAACTGGTTAGAAAAATCAATATCCGGTAATTGAGGTTAGTATGAGATCACTAGGAAAAGAAGTTTAAAAAATCTTTTATATATTACTTTCATTTAACTATGACAGATATGACATTTTTTTTTTAATTTAGTTGTACAGGCTTGTGTTTTTTTCTCAAATGCATGCTATCTTATTATGTATGGTACGGCTTTAGTGGAAAATAATTACTATTTAATTGGATATCTTTTGTAATTTTGTCAAGTACAACAAAATAGGAACTAAATATGTCATATTTTGAAGTAACAAAATTGTTGTTTAAACGATGAGCATTTTTGCTAACCTCCACACCCCTAGTTTAAAGTGTTACTTAAGCATTATAGCTTCATGGTGCACAACACGTCTCAATAGGTTAGTCAACCTGTTGCACTTATTTTCGAAGCTGTAACAGTAAAACTTTTTTTTGTACCCACAATTTTCGGGAAAAAACCCAAAAATTTTTATTCCAGAGAAATCAAGGGGTTTTTTAAATTTGTTATTTTTTGTTTATGTTATAGGGAAATGTCTTCAAAAATTTGGGGTGAAAAATGCCTTCTACATACGGCAATGTGGTTTTTTGGAAACAGTCAAAGGGCCACACAGGGGATGGTGTGGAAGTTGCCAACACTGAACTTACTGATATTGGTAGATATGCCCTTTAAATTTTGTAGCACAATGTCAGAAAATACATGAAGTGTGTAATCGCTAACATTCTCTCCTCCTAAATATTTTATTAGACCCTATGCTCTAAGATTGTTCAATTACTGTACATTTCAACATTTGAAAACTTGTTATAATGTGGGCCTTATTGTTTACATAACAGAACATGTTTTAATTTTGACTTGTACATAGTACATTATTACATGTATTATACACAATTTGGTAATACATTGATCAAAATGCATAAACAATACATTTTCTATACAATTTTACAGGAGCTTGTCCATTAAAACAAATCAGTGTAAAAGGAAAATTACAATCACCTTGTTAAAAGGCCCATTATGCCTTAATGCTATAAATGCTATAATATTCTTTTCTCAAAAACTTCTTCAAAAAATCTTGTCACATTCCCAAACAAATACTCATTTGCCATATACATAAACTATTTTGCTCTGTTTGCAAGTGAATAAGTATTTGAATGGCAGTCAAAATACAACTTTGTTTACATTTTGCTACCTTTAGGACACATCTCTGCATGTTCAGTGCTATTTTCTTCAGTTGTTGAACATCTAACATGCTCTTAATCCATTATTAAAACTTTATCAGACACATGTTTGGTATTTCTAAAGAATTACAAAAATATGGATTTCTGTGCCTTTAAGATTGTATTCATAAATTACATGTATATAGTGTTTAAACAATATAATGTCATGAAAAAGAGCCAATAAATTTTGAAGATATATGTGTTGTGTTGTGTCTTATGATAAAACAAACTCATTTTTGTGACGCTTTAATTTCAAATATATCTGATCCTTATCTTTACCTTGTGACTTTATTTTTAGTTGCCAAATTGTTGGGTTTAGAATCTAAAGACTTGATAGAGGTGTTGACAACAACAGGAATGGTTGCCCGCGGTGAAGTGATTATACGTGAGAACACGATGCACGAGGCACTTGACGTTAGGGATGCCATGTCTAAATCTCTGTACGGAAGACTGTTCAGCTGGATTGTAAATAAAATCAATATCCTTCTTCAACCTGACAAACAGACATATCAAGTGTGAGTAACCCTTTGATTTACATGTTAAGGTAGTATTAAGGCAAGTCTTTCCCGCCACAAAAGAATTCTTAACATCTGCCAGTATTGTTATAAATTGGTCTTTTCTGGAATGTTATTTTTCACAATCGTCTGTATTCACTGAGTTTTAACCATTTATTACTGGAATTTAGTACATAGCGATAAAAAAATGAGTGATTGTATATAATCTAATGCCCAAGATTTTGAAAAAAATAACGTTCGAGAAATAACCAGTTTCCTACGATATTGGCCGATGTTTGAATTTTTTGGCGGGAAAGCATTACAGTGAGACTACCTTAAATGTATATAAGGTTTTTATTTTATAAATTGGGAGTTTCTCTATGATCAGATATTTGGATCATTATTCTGGATAAAAAATTCAGATGCTGACAACTGTTAGAATGACATACAAGGCTTGCACTATTTGTAGTGTACTATTAATATAGTAGTATATATTTATCATTTTACTGCAAAAGTTCCATGTTGGAATGGGTAACGTTAAAAACTTGGAATCTGTTCAACCTCTGCAAATCCTACTACAGACTTTTGATTCTTTCCTTTAAGGAAGCCATGCCTTCAGCTGGCTTACAGAAGGTTCTAGTTACTACTTCTGCCTGAAATAATGAGCAGAGAAGTGCCTAAGATCTTTTTTTGCACCAGTAATGACTGAAAAGTCATTATATAACCTTTGTATTATCAGTGTGTCTTGAAATTAAACCAAAAACAAAATCATTTGTTTTGCAGTGTTGTAATATGTCTTTATACATGTATATTTATTTTTTAGGGATAAATTGAACATTATTGGCTTGTTGGACATTTTTGGATTTGAGAATTTCCCGAGTAATTCCTTCGAACAGTTGTGTATTAATATAGCCAATGAACAGATACAGTACTACTTTAACCAGCATATATTTGCCTGGGAATTGGTGAGTTTTACACATTGTTTTCTTTTACTTTAAATCATAGTGATTGTAGGTTGAAATCTCGTCAGGGGCATTGAATTCTTCGAAAAGAAGAAAATTATCTTAGAAGTTATGGAAGGTTCATTTTTCATGTGTTTAAATCAGTCACTTTCAGTGTAATAAAACTACAGAAAAACATACAAACAATTTGTGTCTACAATTTTTTTTATTGTTTGTTTATTGTGTGCAAATTTTCCCATTTGATATTGCCAAACATTAATCAATCAATTCATTTTTTATGAACAGCAAGAGTACCAGAATGAAGGTATAGATGGTAGTGCTATAACATTTGTTGACAACAGACCACTACTTGACATGTTTCTGATGAAACCAATGGGCCTGTTAGCATTGTTAGATGAGGAAAGTCATTTTCCTAAAGCTACAGATTGGACTTTAGTTGGTAAGATGTACTGATTTTATGAATATTAATTGATTTTATGAATATTAATTGGAAATCCTATGTAAAACTATGCTAATTGGGAATCCTATGGATGCTTATTGGTAATCCTATGAATGTTAATTGGGAGTCTTATGAATATTAATTGGGAATCCTATGATTGTTAATTGGGAATTCTATGACTGTTAATTAGGAATCCTTTGAATGCTGATTGGTAATCCTATGAATGTCAATTGGGAGTCCTATGAATGTTAATTTGGAGTCCTATGAATGCTAATTTGGAATCCTTTGAATGTTACTTGGGAATCTATGTATGTTAATTGGGAATCATATGTAAAACTATGCTAATTGGTAATCCTATGTATGCTAATTAGTAATCCTATGAATGTTAATTGGGAATCTTATGAATGTTAATTGGGAATCCCATGTATGCTAATTGGGAATCCTATGAATACTAATTGGGAATCCTATGTATGCTAATTGGGAACCCCATGAATGTTAATTGGGAATCCTATATAAAATTATTCTAATGGGGAATCCTATGTATGCTAATTGGTAATCCTATGAATGTTAATTGGGAGTCTTATGAATGTTAATTGGGAATCCTGTGTATGTTTATTTGGAATCCTATATATGCTAATTGGGAATCCTATGAATGTTAATTGAAAATCCTTTGAATGTTAATTGGGAATCTATGTACCCTAATTGGGAATCCTATGAAAAGGTAATTGGAAATCCTTTGAATGTTAATTGGGAATCCCATGATTATGCATTTTTGCATAAGGTCAAATATATAAGCTTTTAAATATGTTTACACTCTATATTGTAAAATGGGAGAGTTAATTGTTTAAGAAGCATGTAAATGTTGTTGCTCAATTCAAATCATAGAAAATCTGTTACACATAAAGGCTAATGTTTCCTATTGCTATTGTAGAGAAATTTCACCAGAATGTGAAGAGTGTTTACTACAGTCGACCAAAGGCCACTTCAAGTCTCCACTTTAGTATTAACCATTACGCAGGCAAAGTGAAGTACGACACAACCGGATTTCTGGAGAAAAACCGAGACAGGCTTCCGGTTGAAGTTGTGAACCTGCTTAGGGCCTCAGACAACAATGTTGTTAGATCACTGTTTCAAACACCGCTTACAAAAACAGGTATGTTAAATCTCATGACTTTGTTTGTAAAAATTGTGATTGACCTCTGCATTTTGCTGTGCATATTTCAGTTTGCATTAATTGAAACCTACCACGGTTGCCTGGGCAATAATTTACCAGTTTCTGTAAATAGCTTTATAGAAATAGCTTTTATACATGTTTAAATCATCTTATTTGAATAAATAGATTATATGTATCTTTGAAATGCTATGTATTCATTTAAGAACATATTCACATGGATAGTGAAACCTACCTTTAACAATACCAAAGTTATATATATTTTTTCACTTTATTCAAAAGTTTTACAATATCTGGCCTTTCCCCAGTGTCTCTACCGGTCAGTTTACCAGACCCATTCCCAATGGCAAATATGCTTGATTTTTCCATTTTTAGAGAAAAAAATAATCCCAATTTATTACATGCTTTCCGGTGGTTTATAGAAATATATCAGTGATATAAAACTGGTAATTTCACTGTTTGAAACAGTGAAATTACCACTTTGATAATTTCACTGTTTTGAATTTAAGCCCCTTACGTTGTTTTAGTGAAATACCAGCGTGCACAGTACTGGGTACCAACTTAATGACGTGACGTCTTAAATGACGTCACGTTGTATTATTATTTGGCCCGCTTTTCATTCAGTATTAGGTTTAATGTCTTTTTTAAACGTTTCTTTGCATATAATAAAAAGAAAATTTGTTTAGTTTAGTGTAAGATCGAAATATATTTCACGTTGTGAACACCAAAAGTTCATATTTCACTCGTGGCTTCGCCACTCGTGAAATATACCTTTTTGTGCTCACTCGGTGAAATATATTCCGATCTTACACTGAACTAAACAAATATCCTCTATTTAATTGAAATTCTTGATATCAAAACTGACATTTTGCTAGAGTTAATTCCAGTATGGTAATTTTAATGTATTATTTATTTTTAATGGATGACTGAAACCCAAAACCTCTGTTAAAAAGGATACTGAGTTCAAATGCTTTTTGTAGAATTTCAGTTTCTATAGAACTTGGTATTTATTTTTGTTCAGCTTATAGAATGTGTTAATTATGCCATTAGGTTAGCATGTATACTTTTTTCCTTGCATTATGTTGCACAGTGAAGATATGCTAACCCCAATAAACTCTGTAAAAAGTAAGAAAAAAGAAAAAATATATTTCATGTGGCAGTTTTATGTTTATATCAGTTTATGTTTGTAAAACTGACAGTTAAAACAAATATTTTGTAACTTACATATAAATATTTTTCTACTTTATCCAATGAATCCTTGCTGCTATATAGATTGACTAGTTTTTGATACAGTGGGCTCACTGTTTTTAAATTCAAGCAGTTTTGGTATCGGTGTATTTGAAACTGAAAATACACTATTTAAGTCAAGCATTTTGATATCAGTGTATTTGAAACTGAAAATATACAGTTTAATTTAAACATTTTTATGCCCCCGCCATGAAATGGCCGGGGCATATAGTGTTACCCTGTTCCGTCATTCCGTCCTTCCGTCCTTCCGTCCTTCCATCCTTCCGTCCTTCCGTCCTTCCGTCCTTCCGTCATTCTGTCATTCCGTCATCATCAGTTTCCGTTCATTATCTTAAGAACGGTTGGGCACATTCAACTCAAATTTGACATATGGATATGTCATGAGAAAATACAGGTCAAGTTCGAATTTGGTCATGGTTCGATGATTTTTGGCAGAGTTATGCCCCTTTTACTTTGAAAATAATATGAAATTTCAGTTTCCGTTCATTATCTCAAGAACGGTTGGACACATTCAACTCAAACTTGACATATGGATATGTTATGAGAAAATACAGGTCAAGTTCGAATTTGGTTATGGTTCGATGATTTTTGGCAGAGTTATGCCCCTTTTACTTTGAAAATAATATGAAATTTTCAGTTTCCGTTCATTATCTCCCCAACGGTACAACACAATCAACTCAAACTTGACATATGGATATCTCATGAGAAAATACAGGTCAAGTTCGAATTTGGTCATGGTTCGATGATTTTTGGCAGAGTTATGTCCCTTTCACTTTGAAAATAATATTAAATTTTCAGTTTCCGTTCATTATCTCCCTCAAGGTACAACACATTCAACTCAAATGTGACATATTGATGCGTCAAAGGAATGCGCAGGTCAAGTTCAAATTTGGTCGTGGTTCGATGATTTTTGGCAGAGTTATGCCCCTTTTACTTTGAAAATAATATGAAATTTTCAGTTTCCGTTCATTATCTCCCTCAAGGTACAACACATTCAACTCAAACGTGACATATGGATGCGTCAAAAAAATGCGCATGTCAAGTTCAAATTTTGTCATGGTTCGATGGTTTTTGGCAGAGTTATGCCCCTTTCACTTTGAAAGTAATATGAAATTTTCAGTTTCCGTTTATTATCTCCCCAATGGTACAACACATTCAACTCAAATTTGACATATGGATATGTTTTTGGAATGCCCAGGTCAAGTTCAAATTTGGTCATGGTTCAATGATTTTTGGCAGAGTAATGCCCCTTTCACTTTGAAAATAATATGAAATTTACAGTTTCTGTTCATTATCTACCTAACAGTGTTACATATTCAATTTTAATTTGACATATGGATATGTCAAAGGAATGGGCAGGTCAAGTTGGAATTTGGTCATGGTTTGATGGATTTTTGGCAGAGTTATGTCCCTTTCACTTTGAAAATAATATAGATACATCTTAGGAATAAGCAGTTTAAGTTTGAATTTGGTCATGGTTCAATGATTTTAGACAAACTTATCTTTCCTGAATGTTGGAAAAAATTTGAACTTTCAGTTTCAGCACTCATTCTTTTAGCCATTATTTTGGCTACAAATATGCAATATGCTTTTTCTAAAGGTTAAGACTGAATAATTTCAGTGCCTTGAACGTTGTATGGAAATGGTTTGTGTTAACATTGAAAAGTTTTAAGGGCTTTGAACTTAAAATGAAAAAAAAAAAATTAATGCACCATCTGAAATTTTGGCTGCATGCGGGGGCATCCGTGGCATGATGACACATTTCTAGTTGGTATCTGTTTATTTGAAACTGAAAATACACAGTCACTGTTTAATTCAAGTATTTTGGTATCAGTGTATTTGAAACTGAAAATACACTGTTTAATTCAAGCATTTTTGGGATTTGAAACTGAAAATACACTGTTTAAATCAAGCATTTTGGTATCAGTGTATTTGAAATTGGAAATACACTGTTTAATTCAAGCATTTTGGTATCAGTGTATATGAAACTGAAAATACACAGTTTAAATCAAGCATTTTGGTATCATAGTATTTGAAGCTAAAAACTTATTAATTCAAGCATTTTTGTATACTTATATTTGTAATGGAAAATACACTGTTTAATTCAAGCATTTTGGTATCAGTGTATTTGAAACAGAAAATACAGTGTTTAATTCAATTATTTTGGTATCGATATATTAAAAAACTAAAAATGGACAGTTCCAATAGTCTGTAGGCCTAATGAAAATTAAAAATAATATGAATTAATTAAGGATTCAGTGACCTACAATTGAAATGTATGATTTATACAGAATAAGTTAAACATTTTATACTCAATGTTTACAGTAAGCAGGGAGTCAGGTAAGATTTATCCCTGATAAAGGAGAAGATAGAAACTGTAGGTGTTAATTGGTTACAGGTTTAGTTGAAATATCTTTAAAATTAGGTTTAGGTAAAGATCCTTACTGTAGATTTATTTCTGAGACTAATGTTTTCAGAGATTGATGCAAAATTTGCAGGTGGGTTCCCTACTAAACTTAAGTTTAAGTCTGTCATAACTTACATAAAGGTAAAAATACTTTCAAGCTTTCAGAGAAGAGAAAAGATAGGTGCAGTTAAAGCTGAACTAGTTTGATTGTTGGCAACACTGAATAGGCTTAAACCAAAGTATACATTGAAAGGCAAATTATATATTCAATTGATTCTACTGTACTTAAGTGATGACATTTTGGGTGCAAGATTAGTGTTTACATACATGTTATAGTGTTTGATATGACTACAAGTTGATTTGAAACACAAGTCAATTGGTGATACACTTTAGCTACTGGAAAACTTATCCTTCGATTTTGATCTTGAGGATATGGGTTTATTAGTAAAATAAATGGTTTTGGTTAAGTAAGGAAAGAAATTAAGAACTACTCTGCTTATTAGTAGAATTTAAGAGAGGACTTTTGCATGCCAGAGAATAAACTGATGAAAAAACATTTGCTTGCAAAAGTTTATAGTGACACTTGACCCACTGATACACCAAGGCACCATGTGTTACACATTATTTAAATCATGTGCTACTTCCATTCTGTCATTGTTGTTGACATATTTCACTCATTGTTTACATACTTGACTAATACTGAAGTATTATTATTATTATTTAGTTGTAATTACTCACATGTACCCCTACTCCCCCACTCCAAATCTTTTTTTTTCTTATCCCTTCTTAACTTTCCTTAAACCTATTCTCCCTTAAAATTTATAAATACATTAACTTTTTAAAAATGGTTTTGAGGAGTAGTGCCTTTTTTACAAAGATTATAAAGAAGGAAAATTTAAGTACAAAGAATAATTAATTCAGAACATTTCAAATTTTGCCATTTATAAGGTGTATAACAAGCCATCATTATTACAATTTTTCCATCTTAATATTTCATTACACTGCTACAATTATAAAAGGATTACCATATTTGGGTAAGAAGCTAAAATTTATGATTCCATGATTTTGTTAACCCTACAGTATGCTTTCACCCTTATAGCCTTCTGGCGACCACTGAATTGACATATGCAACCATGCTACAGACAAAGATCAGGTGGCCATGTGTGGGTCGTCTGTTTGTGGTCTGCAATTTTTACTTTTCAGTCATTAAATATTTTGAAAATTTCCCCGAAAAATGGTGAATGGTTTTGTCCAGATTGAAAGATGAACAAGTACATTTTAGATATTTAGCAGAGTATTAAGGGGTAGTAAAAATTTATATAGTCTTTTTGTACAAAAAAAAAGTCTTTTTTATCCCACTTATCCCAAAAAATAAGCCTCCTGCACTCAACTTGGCATGTTACATGGGGTGATGTTGTGTTGCAATGTAGAAGCATGCTTGACAGTGATTGATAAAATAGATTGATAAATCATTAGATTATCTCAATTGTCTCAACATTTGTGCACATGAATTGCATGTAATTTTGCATTGTATGCCTTTTGTAGATCACACCACCCCTGCTTTTATGTTGTGTCCTCATTACAGAATTCCAGATTGAATAAATTCAGTGCTATCGGAGGCGGCGAGAGGGGGCTAGGGGAGGTGCTCCAATAAAATTGAGCCTCAGATTTTAACTAAATATAAATAATTTTATTCTTAATGTTCAAGAAGGAATTGTCCCCTTTTCAAAATTTTACAACCCTCCCTTTTAAATCTTTTATAGAAATTGAAACACATTTTCTTGTGTCGGCCCAGATATTCAAATGGATTTATTTGTGAAAAAATAAAAATCATCATGTGGTCCTTACCACATAAATCTGAGTTCACAATTGAACAAATTTTTACCATGCATTTGTCTCTATGTTATAGTACAGACAATGTGGTGCAAGTTGTTAGCATTATTAAACAATCTGGTTTTAAATAATTTCCAGAAATAATTTCTTGCTTTATTTTATTTCCCATTTTAATGGAAGAGCTGGCTTAACAAATGCATTATAATAGCTCTGTGTAGAAACATAATCAAGAACAGTAGCTGTTGAACTTGAATATTTATACAGAGCTATTTTCTCCTAGCTCTTCCATTAAAATGGGAAATAATTAGAATTATTCAACTTCAATGTCTTTGGTTATGAAATATGTATCTACACGTCAGAAGTTCAAAATTGTTTTTAGGAAAAGGGCTTCTAGAATTGAGATTTATAACCTTATGCTGTCACATGTTTTAAATAAATAAATGATGTGTTAATTGTTACAGGGAATCTTGCAAGTGGATCATTAAAGGCCAGTGCTCCAAACAGCAGTCTGAACTCTCCATCGAGTACTTCCACTGGTTTTACGATAGCCAGCGTACAGAGTTTACGTAGTCAGACTTCGGCTGGTATGGGAGGAAGCAGGGTGAGTAAATCTACCTACCCTATTTTGCTGCAAAATTTTCATGTTGGACTGGCCTTCTCATTAATTTGGTATTGTTCATTTTATTTTCAAGGGTAAAATGGCATTTTAAAGATGCTGTAATTAAGTAGTCAGATTGTGTAAAAGTTGTGTCTTACTGTACCGGTACAGACAAACCTGTCTATTCGGATGGCAAAGACTTAATCATATAGTATTGGAAGGGTGCAAAAAGGGAAACTTAAACTTCATAGTACAAATGAGGGATAAATTAACATAACTGAAGTGTTGTAAAAAGAGGGAATTAAACATTAATTTGAAAATAGATTGTTTCAAGAAAAGCATGATTTTATATTCACATGTACACTTCACTTCAACTTGGATTATATGTTTGTCCAGTGCCTCATTTTGTTATGATTGAATGTTACCTAAGTTGTATTGATTTCAGATATTTGAAAGTTTAGTTTAATTGTTTCAGATTTATAGTGCATTAGTAAGTATTGTGTGAACATTACATCCTCCAGTTAGTGACAGACGTACACTTAGACATACACTTAGCACAGATTCTGTTTATCTTTAATTTTTTTTTATCTTTTTTAAAAAAAATTGTCCTTTTGTTTTCAGATTAGGATTTTTCCCCTGTTTTTTCCAATTTTGCATTTCATTCCTATTCTCTTTGTAAATTATGTGATTTTTTTTTTGTGTATGGGGGGGGGGTCTAAAATTCATACAGGTCTTATGAAAATGTATGAAAAATACTTTCAATTAAAAATTATCAAAGGAAATATCTATAATGATGTTTGATGTTTCCCTATAAATGAAGGAAAGTGTCTGGGCAATTCTTATGATACCAAGAGGTTTCCAATGGATTCAAACCAGTTTTTTAAAGAATGAGGAATTATAAAACATTCCATATGTTTTTCATTTTGGGTTGATGAATGGTATCTTATAATGTTAGTCACTATTTGAAGTTTTGTATGTGAAAAGTATTTATGTCCTTAAATAGTCTTTTTTTTTAAAGAAAAAATGGCACTTTGCTTTCAAATTGTGGCAATTTTGCTAGACAATGTTGCAGTGAGTTTGGTATTTCTGTTTGGGAAATGTGGTATTTGTAGCCAAATGTGTGATGAAATACATTAAAAAAAATATGAAGATTGTGACATCTGAAAATTGTAAACTTGTGGAAATTATAACAATTTATTTCTGGCCTTTTTAAAACTTCTTTTCCTTTAAAGTAGCATTACATGTCTGTAATTGCTGTTTATAACAATATTTATTCAGCCGACTTTAAGATGGCTTAATCAGTGGCAGAATGCCATTCTAGGACGCTTACTTCAGATATATTGCCCTCACTTGCAGTTTGATCAAAATCTGCCGGGGATTTGAAATGTTTTTAGTACTAGGAAGCTAAAATAGTCCAGCTAGATTACAAAATAAATAATGTCGATGGTTTTAATCTGTTGTGTCCACTTGTGGCAGAAATAATAGACATTTAAGACCCATCTGCATAGATCACCTTTCTTTAAAGTATCCACATCACTTTATTTATTTTTCTTTGTTTTGTTTATTTAAAGAAGTGACATTATTTGTTTATTTACTTTTTAGCTCGACTTTTCTATGAAAAGGGGAGCTATCCTACTCGCCCCGGCGTCGGCGTCGGCGTTGGCGTCACACCTTGGTTAAGTTTTTCGTACCACCCCACTTTATTTCAGAAGTATTACAAGTATGGCTTTGAAACTTACCATACTTGTTCACCATCATAACCTCCATCTACAGACAAGAGTACATAACTCTGTCAAGGTTTTTGACAGAATTATGGCCCTTTTTTGACTTAGAAAGTGTATTGAGCTTGGTTAAGTTTTTTGTACCACCTCCACTTTATTTCAAAACCATTGGAGGTATTGCTTTGAAACTGACCATACTTGTTTACCATCACGACCTTCATCAACAGACAAGAGACATAACTCTGTCAAGGTTTTTGACAGAATTATGCCCCTTTTTGACTTAGAAAATACATTGAATATGGGTAAAATCCACTTATTGCCTTAACCCTTTGAGATATTGCTTTGAAACTTTTAATGCTATTTCACATCATTACCCCCATCTGTACGCAAGAGAAGGTAACTCTGTCAAGGATTTGTTTTAAAAATTAAGGCCTTTTATCGACTTAGAATCTTGGTTAAGTTTTTAGTACCAGTCCACTTTTTGACTGAACTGTTTGAGATATTAATTTGAAAGTTGGAATACTTGTTTACAATCATGATTCCCAAACATGTCCAGGAGAAGGTAATTCTGTCAAAGATTTTATTTGAATTATGGCCCTTAACTGTCAATGTTTTGTATTATAGGCAAGCACTAAAAAACTTAAAAAATCTAAAAAAAATCATTCCTATCCACTTGTTCACTTTACCATAAATTATGTCATATAAACATTGCTGTAATATTCAAGGGTATCAAACAACTAGTTCACTTTAAAAATACAGAGATTCTTGTATTGCCTTTTACTGCAAAAACTTTTTTTATTGGCAAGCAATAAAAAAGTCGAGCGCGCTGTCTTACGGACAGCTCTTGTTGTATCTGTTTTACACAGTTTATATTCAAAGATGACAACTGAGTTATGTTTATATTTTTATTTGTTGTGAAAACATTTTTAGCTCGACTTTTCTATGAAAAGGGGAGCTATCCTACTCGCCCCGGCGTCGGCGTCGGCGTTGGCGTCACACCTTGGTTAAGTTTTTCGTACCACCCCACTTTATTTCAGAAGTATTACAAGTATGGCTTTGAAACTTACCATACTTGTTCACCATCATAACCTCCATCTACAGACAAGAGTACATAACTCTGTCAAGGTTTTTGACAGAATTATGGCCCTTTTTTGACTTAGAAAGTGTATTGAGCTTGGTTAAGTTTTTTGTACCACCTCACTTTATTTCAAAAACCATTGGAGGTATTGCTTTGAAACTGACCATACTTGTTTACCATCACGACCTTCATCAACAGACAAGAGGACATAACTCTGTCAAGGTTTTTGACAGAATTATGCCCCTTTTTGACTTAGAAAATACATTGAATATGGGTAAAATCCACTTATTGCCTTAACCCTTTGAGATATTGCTTTGAAACTTTTAATGCTATTTCACATCATTACCCCCCATCTGTACGCAAGAGAAGGTAACTCTGTCAAGGATTTGTTTTTAAAAATTAAGGCCTTTTATCGACTTAGAATCTTGGTTAAGTTTTTAGTACCAGTCCACTTTTTGACTGAACTGTTTGAGATATTAATTTGAAAGTTGGAATACTTGTTTACAATCATGATTCCCAAACATGTCCAGGAGAAGGTAATTCTGTCAAAGATTTTATTTGAATTATGGCCCTTAACTGTCAATGTTTTGTATTATAGGCAAGCACTAAAAAACTTAAAAAATCTAAAAAAATTCATTCCTATCCACTTGTTCACTTTACCATAAATTATGTCATATAAACATTGCTGTAATATTCAAGGGTATCAAACAACTAGTTCACTTTAAAAATACAGAGATTCTTGTATTGCCTTTTACTGCAAAAACTTTTTTTATTGGCAAGCAATAAAAAAGTCGAGCGCGCTGTCTTACGGACAGCTCTTGTTTTATATACCAACTAACACAATTTTGTGTTTAACTTATTTCCCTGAAAATGTGTGATAAAACATGTTTGGTTTGAAGGTTGATGTATATATTTATTAACAGGAAAACTTGGGATGATTGTTTGCAATGAGCCTATGGCTATTATAATAAATTATGCTAAAATTTCTAATTTTCATTTAGTTTCTCAAGGATAATATGGCCAAAAAGACATGGAGAAAAACACACCCTTTTTTTTTGATAATAATATCTTGTTTTGAATCAGTGAAATATAAGCAATATCATTTAGTGTACTAAAAATAGTAGTGAAATTAAAAATGTGCAGAAAAAAACATGAATTTTGCAGTTAACATTATACATTACTTATATGCACATCAGTTAAAAATAATTGCCATTACTGGTGGAGTTCAAAGGAATTGTTGTAATTTACTGGATATATAAAATTAGATATGGTTTAATGAGTCTTTATAAAATATCTTTATAGTTTATTCACATACTTGAATGATCCTCACACTTCTAATTATATCATGTTTTTAACATAGGGAAGGCATCTGATGGTAACAAAACAAAGTTTCTTTAACCTGCCAACCAGAGATTATAAAACACTTTCTCAAGCATATTGATTTACTGCTTTTACCTCTCACAGAATTTTCATTTTTTGCCACAAATCAATCCTTTGCATTTGTATATTTATTTTCATTATTATTCAGATAGATTTATTTCTTTCTTACTCTAAAGCAAATACCATGCAGAATTCTTGGCCTTCATTTTAGATGGAATTCTTATGTTCTTTTTAATAAACTCACCTGATCGTGCCCAGAGGTGAACTTTTATGATGGCATGATGTGCCTTGTTTATAACCCATCTCCAGATGATAGATTTTGACCAAACTTCACAGCAATGATCCATAACTTGCCTCCCTCAAAAAACACACATTGTTATTTGATATAGGTCATAGGATTTGAAAATAAAATCTTTGAAGTTATTCTCCTTAGAATTTTCAATGCCAATAGACAGTACATGGCTTGGGTAGCAAAACCCATTTTTAGCTGTCTGAACAAAAGTGTTAATAATCATGCCACTGGCATCAAAATTTAGTTAGCATATACTTATATAAGAAACAGATTTTAGAGAATAATCTCCTGTTGGAAGCTTCATGGCCTGTCTATAGCTTTGGTCAATTTAGCTACAACTAGCATAGAATTATGACCTTTGATAGCAATGGATCTAAGGTGAGTGTAATATGGTCATAATGTGGTCCTCTTGTTCATTTAGTCGGTATAGGGCTATGATAAGGAACACGTAAGATTTCCCAAAGAAAGATATAGCTTTTCTTTACTGCTTTTTTTCTGTCTTTCATTTTTGTACATAGGTAAATAATGAATATGTAATATAAATGATCTTAGCAATAATGCCAAGATAACTAAAACTATTTTTATATTGCCTTAAATTGTTGATTAATATAACTTAAATATTTGGTTTTATATTGCCTTAAATTGTTTATTTATATGCTTGAAATTGATTGTTTTTGTACCTTGATTTTTTTTATAATGCTTGAAATTATATAGGTTTTATTCCTTAAATTATTGCTTTTTATGTCTGAAATTATTGGTTTTGTACCTCAAATTGTTATTTTTATACCTGAAATTATTGGTTTTTATACCTTAAATTGTTGATTTTATGCCTAAAATCATTGTTTTATACCTAAATTGTGCCTAAAATTGTTGGTTTTTATTATATGTCTCAAAATGTTGGTTTTATGTGCCTTAAGTTTGCCTTAATTTGTCATTCTTTTTGTCCATCTATTATGTTTTTATCATAAAAGCTTGTGGAAGATTGGCTCCTGCATTATTAAAATACTTTTCAGAGGGTCATCTGGGACCTTTGTGTGGCAAAAAGAATTCAGTACTCTGCCTATTTTGCTTTATGTCTGAAAAAGAAATGTATTAATTACATATATGATTTATGTATGTACCCATAAAACTTCTAGCAATGGATAGTTGGCCTTAATGATTGTAAAGGTGACCAATTTAGGTTAAGGTGTTTGCTTCTCAAGCCATTAGGGTCATTGGTTTTGCACTGCTGACAACTCAACCAGGACCAGTTAGATCCAGAAATTGGACTTAGAACTGGTTAAACAAACTACAGATTTTGTTTCAAAATGAAGCTTATATTTAAAGTGTTTAGAAAAAAAATATTTCTTTGTCATTTTGCAATTTTTTTAAGAATACCTATTATACATGCAATTAAGTATTAGTTTCCCAGATTTAGTTTTATTTTGTATTATTTGCAGTGATTGATATATACTCCTTAAGTTAGAGAGTAAACCATGCTCACAAATGTATACTTAAGTGGCTATCCTTTCTTTTTCTGTGTTGTTTCATTTTAACCTTTAGCCTTGCCTCAGCCTTTGCCATGAGTATAGAGCCAGGTAAGTCTGCAGTTTCAAGCAGTCTTACCTGAGGCTCTCTATACTGTTGGAAACTTTATTTCAGTATTTTGATATTAAATTCCCTTTAAAGATAAACTATGTTCAAATTTAATAATTTTATATGAAAAAATATTGATAATTGCTACTTTTCTCTTTGTGCTGTAATGGGCTAAGTGCTGTTGCATTTGATAGTAGGTACTGCACTATGGTGATATTATAAGGTCTTCTTTAGCCACTTTATAATATACATTTGAGAGCTGATGATTTTGTTGTACATACACATAGTTTTAGGAAATAGTTAGGGAATACAGTTAGGCATGTATAATTTTATTGTAAGGCTGGTAAGTTTTAGTTCAACCTTAACTATAACCATTCTCATGAAGATGTAAACCATTTATTTAAACATACAGAGAAATGCGCTAAAATATTTTTAGGACAGATCATGATTATGAAATTGTTTCAGAATACTTCATTGAAAGAACATTTAGTCACTAGCATTTATGTATTACCTTGCTTTCAGTTAATTTATAATGTACATGAATATAGGAGCAACAATATTAAATATTGGGTCTCTATTACAGAATTGATAGGTAACTTGCAGTTACAAGAAAGAAAAACCGATCAATAAGTGTTGTCTTTATGAACTGTCTTTAACGCTTGACTATTGCTAAAATGAACTTATTCTTTGAAATCATACTTCATCAGCTTTAAGTGACGCTTTCAAATTGGGCAGAGGGGGGTGGAATTGACAAAGTAGTTATTGTTACAGATGTAACCTTTACCATAAATATATAAAATTTTAAAAGGTTACACATTTTGAAAATAACTTTATGTATTATGTATCTAGCATAAAGAGATCAGCATATAAAATCTAACTAAACTTTTCTGCATTATACGTTATGTTAATAAATTAAATGACAATTTATTTTTTCAGGGATCTTCTGCTGCCTCCATGACACGTATACAGCAGACGGTCGCCACATATTTCAGATTTTCTCTGATGGACTTGCTGGCCAAAATGGTTGCTGGAAATCCACATTTTGTGAGGTAATTTTAAATATGCCGACAATCTTTGAAGGGCCTCATAGTGTCATAGTTACTAAATCTGCCAGGGGCCTCTGTGGATAAGTGATTATGATAACCAAATCTTTTGTGGGGCCTCTTGTCAATGAGTGATTGTAGTAACTAAATCTATAAAGGGCCTCTTGTCAACGAGTGACTCATAATAGTAACTAAATCTGTGAGGGAACTCTTTTCAATGAGTGATTATGGTAACTAAATCTGTGAGGGGCCTCTGTGGATCAGTGATTATAGAAACTAAATCTGTGAGGGGCCTCTGTGGCTACTAAATCTGTGAGGGGCCTCTGTGGCTATTAAATCTGTGAGGGGCCTCTGTGGCTACTAAATCTGAGAGGGGCCTATGTGCATTTGTCATAGTAACTAAATCTTTAAGGGGCCTCTGTGAATAAGTGATTATAGTAACTAAATCTTTGAGGGGCATTTGTAGATAAGTGAATATAGCTACTAAATCTGTGAGAAGCCTCTGTGGCTACAAAATCTTTGAGGGGCCTCTGTGGCTACTAAATCTGTGAGGGGCCTCTGTGGCTACTAAATCTTTGAGGGGCCTCTGTGCATGTGTCATAGTAACTAAATCTATAAGGGGCCTCTGTGGATAAGTGATTATCGTAACTAAATCTTTGAGGGGCATTTGTGGATAAGTGATTATAGCTACTAAATCTGTGAGGGGTCTCTGTGGATAAGCTATAACTGGTACTAAATCTGTGAGGGGCCTCTGTGGATAAGTTATTAAAGCTACTAATCTGTGAGGGGCCTCTGTGGATAAGTGATTATAGCTACTAAGTCTTTGAGGGGCAACTGTGCAAGACTGGATTATTCTGATTTGCCTGTAAGGGCTCTAAACTGACAAATACATCATTTAAATTTTTACATATGAGGAAACTAGGAAGATTTATAGCTCTATACAAGTCTTTCTCTGTCAAGGTGAAGGTGCCAAGTTAATTTCGACACCTCTATTTATAAGAGGTACGCCTATGAAGCAAATTATTTGACATCATTACTTTAAGGTGTAAAAGCCCAATTATTTGATACATGTAACTTTTAGATGTAAATGGCCGGTTATTTTAAATCTGTATTTCTTAGATGTATCACACCAATTGTTTGACATCTGTAATTTTGAAATGTTCATTGCCTTAATAATTTTCAGATGTATAAGGCCAAATGAGGAAAATGTTCCCGATCATTTTGATGGAAAGAAGGTAACTACACAGCTAAAATATACAGGTGTTCTTGAGACAACCAGAATAAGGAGAGAAGGCTACTCCCATAGGATTCCATTTAGTGATTTCACAAACAGGTATGTGTCCTTTTAGGTAGTTTAGATTATAATTGACATAGACTTAACTTACAACTTCACATTTTGGCTGTCTTAGAATCTACCGTATAAGTACTTTTTTCTGCGGGAACTTTATTTCTGCTATTTCTGCGGTTCTTAAGGACACCACAGATTTAAAAATCGCAGAAAATTAAGCCTTTCACTATGTCTATGTCAGAATTTGTCAACTACCGGTATTGTATAATTACATTACGATGTACCGTTATCGGTTTTGTAGATGGGAAGTTATCTTTATGTATCCGTCATGAAAAAAATATTAGCTTTACTTGTTCTTTTTGTTTAAATAAATAGCATGTTTGTATGATTTTCGCTCACCCTAAGCTAAATTATTTTTTTGTAAAATAAAACTATTATAGTTTGACAGGTGCAATAAACAAACCCCTTTGTATTTGTACAATACCTTGTGTCCATGTGCGATTTTACCATTGTTTATATTTCACACTTCATATTTATACACATGCAGTATTACAATTAATTGTTGTCATTGCACGTTGTTAATCTTTGTTTATTAATGTTTATATACCGATACATGATGATTACGATAAACACATTAAAAGACGTCTGCATGTTCCGGAAGTATGTTCATGTTTACATCAAACAAATCTTGAAATGTTGTCTGTTGTATCGGGATTAATTTTGTAAAAATATCTAAATTTAACCGCAGAAATTAAAAACATCAATGCGAGAATGATGACACCGCAGAAATAAGATACGCAGAAATTTAAAACCCCTTATTTTAACAAAAATCGCAGAATATTAAGCCCGCAGAAATAAGTACTTATACGGTATTTGTTAATTTATACTCTGGACATGGATCCTTAATCAAGCTTAAGGGGTGTTTGTGTCTCTTTCCAACAAAAATATTTATTGTAATTGAAACTGATTTATTAGACTGAACACATTTGTTTTGATGTGACCTTCACCTTTGTTGTTTCAAAATAAGTATTTCAGTAATTATATCTTGGAAAAGTGCATCATATCACTGTTAAGCCTTCTTCAAAACAGCGTCCCGAAAGCTATTTATAACACATCAGTGATGTTATGTTTCTAAAAATAGCAGATCAGGAAACGAATCATCCGCTTTACTAATTTAAATACAGAGTGCAGACCAGTAGATAAGAAGTTTCAAAGGGTTTCCTTTACTGTTCCTTACCGCCTTGAAAAGGTGACGTATAGGGGTTACTTTTGTCGGCGGCGTCGTTGTCGGCGTCGTCGTTGGCGTCCCCTAAAGCTTGTCCGGAGCATAAACTCACTATAAGTCTGATTTGACTTCAAACTTGGTATGCATCTTCTTTTCAATAACCCGAAGTGCAGTAGCACAAGACCGGTACTCTGCCGTTCTTATTTTTTGAGTTATTGCCTTTTGGTTAATTTTCATACTTTAATTTTGTCCCGGGCCATTTTCTCTTCAACTAAAAAGCTATGGACTTGAAACTTCATAGGATGATAGATCTCATTAAGAGAAGTGCCAGTGCATAAGAACCAGTACTCTGCACTTCCTAATTTTTGAGCTATTGCCCTTTGTTATTTTTCATACTTTATTTTTGGTCCGTGCCATTTTCCTAATGTATAAAAGCCATGGACTTGAACTTCATAGGATGATAGGTCTCATTAAGAAAAGTGCAGTGAATAAGAACAGGTACTCTGCATTTCTTATTTTTTGAGTTATTGCCCTTTTGTTTATTTTCATACTTTAATTTTGTCCGGGCCATTTCTCCTTAAGTATAAAAGCTATGGACTTGAAACTTCATAGGATGATAGATCTCATTAAGAAGAAGTGCAGTGCATAAGAACCGGTACTCTGCATTTGTTATTTTTTAAGTTATGGTCCTTTGTTAATTTTCATACTTAATTTTTGTCCAGGCCATTTCTCCGAAAGTATAAAAGTTATGGATTTGAAACTTCATAGGATGATAGATCTTATTGATAAGAAGTGCAGTGCACAGAAACTGCTGCTCTGCACTTATTATTTTTTTAGTTATTGCCCTTTGTTATTTTTCATACTTCATTTTTGTCCGGGCCATTTCTCCTAAACTACATTGTTCACAAGGCGACACATCCGACTCGCGGAGTTCTAGTTGTATTTTATCGACAACAAATTTCATTTTCCACCTTAATTCTTTTGATTTGACAAGTATATGAAAAGATTTATCTAAAAATAACATTTTAACCATTTAGAAAATCTGAAAGCTGCTTTAACAAATGATTGATGTTGTGTTTTAAAAACCACTTACAAAAGTAAAGAAAATGATATTATTTTTCTAAAGGTACTCATTGTTGGCCCTTGGTCAGATGGGAGATTTACAGCCGAACAAAACTGGATGTGAGATACTATTAAAAAGATTGAAATTAAAGGACTGGGCTTTAGGTAAAACCAAGGTAATTTGATTTCTTGTTTTACAAAAAGTTGAAGCTGCAGGTGTATACTTCATGATATACTCACATATTATAGTTTACATATACTGTAAGTGTTAAACAAAATATTTCAACATGTGCTGCTTTAAGTGTTGCCATCTGGATTAACTTGTACTGTTGAGGAAGAATTTAAGATGTTACAATGGTGTGCCTTAAGTCAGGTGTTAAAACCCACAGTCCCTTCAAGTTGTGACTTAAGTCACACTTGAACCCACAGTCTCTCCAAGTTGTGACTTAATTTAGGCTTGAACCTACTGTTCCTCCAAGTTATATCCCTTTACCACTTGCTGCTCATAAAAAAAGCCGATGATTTTGACAACAACAGAAGTTTAAGTAGTTAAGTAATGAATTAAATACAGTAATTGATTGATTTATTCACGTTTTCAGGTGTTTTTAAAGTTTTATCATGTAGAGTTATTGGCAAGGAAGTATTCTGAGGTACAGGGAAAAATTGCACGTATACAGGCTTTTGCAAGAATGAATGCTTCTCGGAACCAATACTTTCAACTGAAGTGGAAACTTGAGAAAACCGCTCTAATTGTACAGCGATGTAAGTGTTACTTTGTTGCTCTGTGAAAACTCGGATAATAAATCAACGATTGAGCTCTGTTACAACTCAGATAATAAATCATGGGTTAAACTCATAATAAATCAAGGATTGAGCTCTGTCAAAGCTCAGTAATTAGATAAAGGATTCAGCTCTGTCAAAACTCAGATAATAAATCAAGGATTGAGTTCTGTCAAAACTCAGTTAATAAATCAAGGATTGAGCTCTGTCAAAACGCGGATAATAAATCAAGGATTGAGCTCTGTCAAAACTCAATTAATAAATCAAGGATTGAGCTCTGTGAAAACTCAGTTAATAAATCAAGGATTGAGCTCTGTCAAAACTCAGATAAAAAAATCAAGGATTGAGCTCTCTGAAAAACTCAGTTAATAAATCAAGGATTGAGCTCTGTGAAAAACTCAGTTAATAAATCAAGGATTGAGCTCTGTCAAAACTCAGTTAATAAATCAAGGATTGAGCTCTGTCAAAACTCAGTTAATAAATCAAGGATTGAGCTCTGTCAAAACTCGGATAATAAATCAAGGATTGAGCTCTGTCAAAACTCAGTTAAATAAATTAAGGATTGAGCTCTGTCAAAACTCAGTTAATAAATCAAGGATTGAGCTCTGTCAAAACTCGGATAATAAATCAAGGATTGATTCTGTCAAAACTCAGTTAATAATCAAGGATTGAGCTCTGTCATAACTCAGATAATAAATCAAGGATTGAGTTCTGTCAAAACTCAGTTAATAAATCAAGGATTGAGCTCTGTCAAAACTCAGATAATAAATCAAGGATTGAGCTCTGTCAAAACTCAGTTAATAAATTAAGGATTGAGCTCTGTCAAAACTCAGTTAATAAATCAAGGATTGAGCTCTGTCAAAACTCAGTTAATAAATCAAGGATTGAGTTCTGTCAAAACTCAGTTAATAAATCAAGGATTGAGCTCTGTCAAAACTCGTATAATAAATCAAGGATTAAGCTCTGTCAAAACTCAGTTAATAAATTAAGGATTGAGCTCTGTCAAAACTCAGTTAATAAATCAAGGATTGAGCTCTGTCAAAACTCGGATAATAAATAATGGATTAAGCTCATTCATAAACCGTATAATATATATCAAATCCAAAGGATTGAGCTTCGTCACCTTTTCAAATGTAGTATGAGAATAAATTTACTTACATGTTATATTTATCATATTAACAGATGCCCGTGGGTGGTTAGTGCGGAAAAGGTTTTCAAAGTTGTTCAAGAATAGAAAAATGGCAGCAGTTACTCTACAAAGAGGTAATGAACTTTGAACTCAGTACAATAATTTGTATTTATATTTATATATTTTATCCATTTGGTAAGAAAGAAATGTTTTGTTTTTTATTTTCTCTACACAATTTACAGCCTGTACCAGAATAAATAGTAAACAATAAGTAGTCAACTGCAAATTTAAAAAACTCCAGAGCCGTCTGGTAAGTTCAGTAGGTAGAGCGTTGGACTGTGAATCAGGCAACCCAGGTTAGATTCCCTGATGGCGCAGGTCACTTTTGTTGTCATTGATCATGAAATCCTTTCTACAGTCATTCGCACTGTACCTCTGTTCTGGCAGAAGTTTCAGTTCCTTGGGAAAGTGATGGTAAACTGCTTGACAGCCTGCCCAGGAAGGATGCGGTAATTGAACTGTGCTCTGACGAATTCAATGTGGATTACTGTCAAGATCCGGAGTGAAAACTACCAACACACCACCACCTATAAAACTCCATTTAATATACCAATGTTATGACTGAACCTGTATCAGGCATTTAAGTTATCAAAAATGGAATAATTTTTATAGCCTATTAGTATATTTACTATAATGATATTTTTACAGTTGCAAGAGGTTTCTTGGTCAGGAGAAAGGTACAGCCAGAGCTGCAGCAGCGTAGATCGGCGGTGGTGAAGATACAGTCTGTGTATAGAGGTCACCACGCCAGGAAACTGGTTCAACAACAAAGAGATGAGGAGAAAGAAAGCGCTATTAAGTTACAGAGAGGTATATCATCATCTTTAGTGTCTATATATTGTCATATTAGTGCAGTAATGGGCTAACTTCTATTGAAATTTAGTTGGAGTTAACTAGTTACTGCACTCAGGTGACAATATGATCAAACATTCAGGCCATTGACCTTTAACCTGTTTAATTTCCATAAATTACTTGAATATATTAAAAAACCTTCAGTTTCAAGACAAGTTCTTTTTGAATATTTAGGGATATCAGTATGAAAATTTACTGGCTAGCAGTGTAGAGCTTGTATAGACTGCATGGATGTTCAGGCTTGCCTGGTTTTATAGTGATTACAAAAGCTTTTAAATTCAGCATTTAACCATGGATGCTAAGTTACGGTGAAAATCAATTCATTTAACCACTTAATCTGATGGAACGAAAAATGAAGCGGCCTTTGCTACCAGTATAGAGCCAGGTCAGCCTATGTTTCTGTGAAATCTGACAAGGCTCTAAACTGTTGCCTTACTGAAAAAAAACAACATTTTATATCTTGACTTTGCCAAAATGGATAACTGACAGTCCCAACTAAATTCGAAGCTTGGGCCTTATAATTCTGCCTCATGTAACATTTTGAATGCTAGGGACACTATTGATCAGCCATCTGAATACAGCCATGTCCATACCATCTGAGCTGAAGCTGTTGAAAGAAAAACAGAACAATACTCATTATAATTATTTCAAAGGTGTCTTGTCTAATGCAGGAGTTAACTCCCTTGAACATTACAGTTATGTCACTTGACATAGTATTTGAATGGTAATGGGTATGAGCCAAATTGTATAATCAAGAAACTTCTAAGACTTTAAGACCTATCCCTCCCCCCTTTGAAAAATGGTTACTTGTGTGCAAACTAAAAGCATATTAATTTTTTTTTTAAATTGCCTTTCTTCTGAATTTTTAGCTCACCAGGGTGAGCTATTAGTATCAAAGGGGGATGCTCCGGCGTCCGTCTTCCGTCATCATGTGTCAACAATCGTCTTCTTCTCTGAAACTACTGGACAGATTTACTTCAAATTTGGTCTGTAGCATCCTTGTGACAGTCACACTTGAATTTGCTCATGTCATTCCAATAGGCCCCTTTTAGGGGTCACCAGAGCTAAAAATAGAAAAACCTTTAAACATCTTCTTCTACAGAACTAATGGATGGATGATCACCAAACTTTGTCTGTAGCATTCTTGGGTAGTCTTTTATCAAGTTTGCTCATATTAACTTGTTTCTAGGGCTAAAAATAGAAAAACCTTTAAACATCTTCTTCTACAGAACTAATGGATGGAAAATCACCAAACTTTGTCTGTAGCATTCTTGGGTAGTCTTTTATCAAGTTTGCTCATATTAATTTGATTGGCCCTTTTTAGGGGCCGCTTAAGCTAAAAATAGAAATACTGTTAAATGTCTATTTTTGGAGAACTAATTGATTGATGATCACCAAACTTTGTCTGAAGCATTGTTGAGTAGTCTTTTATCAAGTTTGCTCATATTATATTGATTGGCCCCTTTTAGGGGTCTCTAGGGCTAAAAATAGAAAAACCTTTAAACATCTTCTCCTACAGAACTAATTGATGGATGATCTCCAAACTTTGTCAGTAGCATTCTTGGGTAGTGTTTTATCAAGTTTGCTCATATTAATTTGATTGACCCCTTTTAGGGGCCGCTTAAGCTAAAAATAGAAATACTGTTAAATGTCTATTTTTAGCTCGACTATTCGAAGAATATGAGAGCTATTGTAGTCGCCCCGGCGTCGGCGTCCGCGTCAGCGTCCGCGTCGGCGTCTGCGTTGGTTAAAGTTTTTTGTAAAGTCAAATATCTCAATTATTACTTGAGATATTCAATTGAAACTTACAATACTTATTTATAGTAACAAGGTACATCAGATTGACAAGTTGGATAACTCTGCCTACAATATTGACAGAATTATGCCCCTTTTTAACTTAGACATTTTGGTTAAAGTTTTTTGTAAAGTCAAATATCTCAATAATTACTTGAGATATTCAATTGAAACTTACAATACTTATTTATAGTAACAAGGTACATCAGATTGACAAGTTGGATAACTCTGCCTACAATATTGACAGAATTATGCCCCTTTTTAACTTAGAAATTTTGGTTAAAGTTTTTTGTAAAGTCAAATATCTCAATTATTGCTTGATATATTCAATTGAAACTTACAATTCCTATTTATAGTAACAAGGTACATCAGATTGACAAGTTGGATAACTCTGCCTACAATATTGACAGAATTATGCCCCTTTTTAACTTAGAAATTTTGGTTTAAGTTTTTTGTAAATTCAAATATCTCAATTATTGCTCGAGATATTCAATTGAAACTTACAATACCTATTTATAGTAACAAGGTACATCAGATTGACAAGTTGGATAACTCTGCCTACAATATTGACAGAATTATGCCCCTTTGGAACTTAGAAATTTTGGTTAAAGTGTTTTTGTTAAGTCAAATATCTGAATTATTGCTTGAGATATTCAATTGAAATTTAAAATACTTTTTTATAGTAACAATGTACATCAGTTTGCAAAATTGCATAACTCTGCCTGCAATATTTGCAGAATTATTTGCCCCTTTGAAACTTAGAAATTTTGGTTAAAGGTCTTCAAAGATATTTACTTGAAACTTTACACATGCACTTAGGGTCATAATTGGAGGCTGATTCATAATCCCCTTTTCTACTTAGTCTCTTGGTTAATGTTTACATGCAAGTTTTACATATCTCAATAACTATTAAAGATATTTATTTAAAACTTCACATATGCATTTAGGGTCATAATTGTAGGTCACTGACAAAGATCCAAATTCTATCTTGCATTTAGGCTGATTTTTCTCCCCTTTTTCAACTTAGAAATTCATGGTAAAGTTTTGCTTGTAAGCTGTTATCTCAATAACTACTGAAGGGTTTGTGCCTTTTTTGGGACAATTTTATGCATTCATAATAATAAAGCAGTGATTTACTTGATAAAACATCTTAATAAAAAGCCTTTGTACCTTTTCTGTCAAATTTATGTATTCATAGGTAATTAGTATTATTATACTCAATAAAACACCCTTGTGACATTACCTTCCGAATAGTCAAGCCAATACTGTATAATTAGACTCTCTCTAAGGCCTATAACATGAATTTATAAAAAAAAATTAGCCCTTTTGTGAACTTAAAAAATTTAACATTATCAAGGCTCTTTTACTATCAAGCATTTAGAATAGTCGAGCGTGCTGTCCTACAGACAGCTCTTGTTAAAGAACTAATTGATGGATGATCACCAAACTTTGTCTGAAGCATTGTTGGGTAGTCTTTTATCAAGTTTGCTCATATTATTTTGATTGGCCCCTTTTAGGGGTCTCTAGGGCTAAAAATAGAAAAACCTTTAAACATCTTCTCCTGCAGAACTAATTATCCCCCGCCGATGGAATCGGGAGGGGGATATAGTTTTGGCGTTGTCCGTCCGTCCATCCATCCGTCCGTCCGAATTTCGTTTCCGTAGTTGTTCTCTGCAACTACTGGCTGGAATTCAACGCAACTTTATGGGAATCATCAATATCAAGAGGAGATGCGCATCTGACCGTCCGTTAGTCTGTCCGTCCATCGGTCCGTCCGTCCGTCCGAATTTCGTTTCCGGAGTAGTTCTCTGCAACTACTGGCTGGAATTCAACCAAACTTAATGGGAATCATCAATATCAAGAGGAGATGCGCATATCTTTGGCTTGTTCCGGTCAGACACTTTAACTCAGAGTTATTGCCCTTGTTTAGTTATGAAGTATGCATATAGAGTAAAAATCGTTTCCCCGCTACTTCTCTGCAAATACTGGCTGGAATTCAACTAACTTTATGGGAATCATCAATACCAAGAGGAGATGTGCATATCATCGGCTTGTTCCGGTCAGACACTTTAACTCAGAGTTATGGCCCTTGATTAGTTATGCAGTATGCATATGGAGTAAAAATCGTTTCTGCGCTACTTCTCTGCAACTACGGGCTGGAATTCAACGAAACTTTATGGGAACCTTCAATACCAAGAGGAGATGCGCATATCATCGGCTTGTTTTTGTCAGACACTTTAACTCAGAGTTATGGCCCTTGATTAGTTATGCAGTATCCATATAGAAAAATATTTGTTTCCTCGCTACTTCTCTGCTACCACCGGCTGGAATTCAATGAAACTTTATGGGATACTAAGAGGAGATGTGCATATAGTTGCCTTGTTCCAGTCAGATACTTTTAACTCAGATTTATGGCCCTTGATTAGTTATGTAGTATGCATACATCTCATTGGCATTTCCAGATTTTACTATTTAACACAAAGTTATGGCTCTGTTATTTCCCTGAATATTTATCAAGTTCAAAGAATATTACTGTTTATGCCATGATTAATATATAAATAAAGCCTTATGTCTTCAGTTGTTGTGTTAATAATAACCAGTACTCGGCGGGGGATATAAATTCAACAAATTTGCTTGTTGATGGATGATCTCCAAACTTTGTCAGTAGCATTCTCGGGTAGTCTTTTATCAAGTTTGCTCATATTAATTTGATTGGCCCCTTTTAGGGGCCGCAAATGCTAAAAAGAGAAATACCTTTAAATGTCTATTAGCAAAAGTTAAAAATAGAAATACATTTAAATGTCTATTTCTACAGAACTAATTGATGGAAGATCACCAAACTTTGTCTGTAGCATTCTTGGGTAGTCTTTTATCAAGTTTGCTAATATTATTTTGATTAGCCCCTTTTAGGGGTCTCAAGGGCTAAAAATAGAAAAACCTTTAAACATCTTCTCCTACAGAACTAATTGATGGATGATCTCCAAACTTTGTCAGTAGCATTCTCGGGTAGTCTTTTATCAAGTTTGCTTATATTAATTAGATTAGCATTTTAGCAAAAGCTAAAAATAGAAATACCTTTAAATGTCTATTTCTAGAGAACTAATTGATGGATGATCACTAATCTTTGTCTGTAGCATTCTTGGGTAGTCTTTTATCAAGTTTGCTCATATTCATTTGATTAGCCCCTTTAAGGGGCTGGTAAAGCTAAAAATAGAAATACCTTTAAATGTGTCTATTTCTACAGAACTAATGGATAGATGATCACCAAACTTTGTCTGAAGCATTGTTGGGTAGTCTTTTATCAAGTTTGCTCATATTATTTTGATTGGCCCCTTTTAGGGGCCGCTAAAATTAAAAATTGATATACATTTAAACGTCTATTGCTACAGAACTAATTGATTGATGATCTGTAACATTATTGGGTAGTCTTTTATTAAGTTTGCTCATATTAATTTGATTAGCCCCTTTTAGGGGCCGCTAAAATTAAAAATAGAAATAAGATTAAACACCTTTCCTACAGAACTAATTAATAGATGATCACCAAACGTTGTCTGTAGCATTTTTGGGTAATCTTTTATAAAGTTTGCTCATATTAATTTTGATTTGCCCCTTTTAGGGGCCCTTAAAGCTAAAAAAAGAAAAACCTTGAAAAATCTTCTACTTCAGAACCAATTGATGGTTGATCACCAAACTTTGTCTGTAGCATTCTTGGGTACTGAACTCTTTTATCAAGCTTGCTCATATTAATCTGATTAGCCCCTTTTAGGGGCCACTAAAGCTAAAAATAGAAAAACAGAAAAAACTTTCAAACATCATTTCCTGCTGAAATAATTGATAGATGATCACCAAACTTTGTAGCATTCTTAAGTAGTCTTTTATCAAGTTTGCTCATATTAATTTGATTAGCCTGTTTAAGCTAAAGCTTAAATACCCCAGGTCATGGCATTTTATCAAATTATTGTTTAAACATATTCTATGCTCAAATTTAATATTAGAATATATTGACATTCCAACACTGGAAAGCAGTTGTTTCTGGTGAGCGACTCAGGGCCATCATGGCCCTCTTGTTAAGAACTTTGACTAAAAACATTTCTTTACTTAAAACAGGGAATGAGTACAATATTGTTATTATAAGAGTAAATTGCATGAAATGAAAACTGTCAAACTAAATGAATATTTTCTTTTGATTTTTTTGTTTCTGTTGTATTATTAGCATTCAGAATGCGTCAAGCTAAAATTCATGCCAAGGCCGAGGAGAAGAAGAGTGTGGACTCCAAGAATTCAGCAGCCATTCTTATACAGTCTACATACAGGATGTGGAAATGTAAATCTGTATATAAACAACTAGTTAAATATAAGGAGAAAAAAGAATTACAGTTTATCTACTTTAGCCAGCAGGTGAAGTGTTTATTCTTTACAATATTGATTTATAACTTGGGGTAGATATGAATTTTTTAGGGTTTTTTATTATTTTACACATGATTTATTGATTCCTTTTATTTTAGTACTATTTTGATTGATCTTTATTCTGTTTGTAAAATATATACAATAATTGTGTCAATAACTTAAAAAAAATAAATGAATGATTGAATAGAATGAGAAAGAAGTTTGAGAAGATATTCGGATAGGTCAAACTGGCAAATTATTTTGTGAAACTAAGCTCATGGAAATCGGTTACATTCAGAAAACAGACTTGGAATTTTTTTTTGCGTAAAATATCAAGGCAATTGCTTTAAGGGATTTCAGCATGTGTTTTGATCTTGATAAATTAATTTGTTTAAGGTTGAAGAATATGGTAATGACTTTGAAGCAAAGTTGAAGGCCACAAATTTTAAAGCCAAGCCAGTACCCATACCTGTTGAGGATGCAGCCGTAGCAGGACCCAGCAATGTGAAAGCCGGGAGCAAGAAAAGGAAGGCTCCTTCAAGGCCTGCTGAAGTTGCTAGGCAACCATCAATTCCAAAGAGAGTCCCTGATGTCAGTGAAGAAAGATTGGATCACTTGGAGAAGATGAAACAACTGAAGACATTGATGCCAGCAAAAGAGAATACGTACTATGATAAACTGGTAATTATTTTTCTTTTTTAACAATACAGTAGAACTTCAGTAAGTCGAAGTTGAAGGGATTTGCGTAAAAATTTCGACACATCGAGACTTTGACTCATGAATAGGTCTCAATTTCAGGACAAAATTTTGACCCGTTGACTAGTCCTAATTATAAGACATATAAAGTAATCTATTTTATGTTTTCCCTCATTAATCTGATATTTTACATTTCACAATGATAAATTTAACATGTTAAATAACTTTTTCACGGCTAATTATATAGACTACCTGTATACAAGGTAGTTACAAAAGGCGTGATAACTAAACCAGGTTATAGTTAATATTTCGCGTGTGATTATCACGCGACACTGGGTCACGGAAGTTCTCAAATGAAATTAGTTCTTACTGTTTACTTTCAAATACCACTACGGCAATTAAAATGATAACGATTAAAGCTTTTTATCACACATTTAAACGCATACAAAGGCACTTTGAACACGGTTGTGTAAATTTACACCTGTCACACAAGTTGATCGGAATTGTCTTTGGGGCCAGATAAGGTGTGAAAAATGTCTCAAGATCGAAGCTGTCAAAATAATTGAAGGACTTCGACTTATTTGTGGTAAATTGTACTAGATTTATTCTATAGGGACCACGAAAATACTTCGACACATTGAAAAATTCGACACATAAAATTTCGACTCATAAATAAGTTTTTATAAGGAGAATATAGAGGAAAAAAATCTGGACTTTCATTTTACTTCGACACACCAAGAAAATCAACTAATCGAAGTTCGACTCAGAAGTTCTACTGTATATTCCATGTTTAAAATGTAGTATTTCGTTTTATTACACCTCAAATAAACTTTTTACTATATATCCTAACATTATGTCCCATGGTGTTATTTTGATCTATCACCCGGTACAATAATTTTTTTGCAATACTCCCCAGGGGGGAGTAATTTATATAGACTTGAGAAAACTTAATGTTCTAGTTCTCTCCCCTGGCCGCTCTCCTGCATAAACTTCTTTACTAATTTAAAATGTTTGACTTTATTTGAATGTTGGTTCAGTAAAATAAAAATGCAGTTCTTGAGTTGCTTAAATATGCACTAATATAACCCTGAGAGACATATTCTTTTATAATATAACACATGTTGGTATAAAAATGTCCAATACAATGGCTTATTTGGGCTATAAATAAATATCATGCGATAAGAAGAACCTTAAATTGTTTTTTTTTTTTTTTTCATGTAGACTTGTATTTATCTTCTATAGACATAAGTTTATATAAAATGACAATTTTGCAGTTTAGATCCCAAGCCATACATAACAAGGAGCTGACCCATCTTTCCTTACTTGACCTTTTAAGCTGTAATTTTTTTTACATCATTTACACTCAGATCAGTAGTACTTTTTTAACATTTATGCAAAATTTAAAATCACATCCATGGGTAGAAATTTAACATTATAATATTTGAAATTCCAGTTTTTATGACAATATAATTTATGAAATATATTATCTCTTTACAACCGAAATATACTCTAGTATTTCCCTTTCTTCTTGTTAAGCCCGGATTTATATTTTGCAGAATGTTAAAAGGGAGGATGTTGCAGTTGAGGATCAAAGTGACAGTGGTTCCACACCAGTTTCTCAAAGGAGGTATTTTACAATTTTCTGACCCATAAAAGGCAGTTTTCTATATTATTCTATAGTATGTTTCCAGCCAAAATTTGCTTCACTTGTACTGTCTGGGTTATGCTGTATGTTATAAAAATTTGTTATTCATCTTGGCCAAGTTGTTAACTGAAGATAACTTGTTTTTGTCACAAAATAAAACTTTTCTCAGTTTTGTAGTTTTGACATACAGTTTTTAAAAAAAATGGATTTAAAATTTGAAGAAATTTTGTATCACAGTCACCATAGGTTGAATGGTAAATAAAAAACACTGGCATAAAATGAGTTACCCCCTGAACTCTGTTGGTTTAACTTAATGTCAAGTATATTGAATTTTTAGCTCGACTTTTCTATGAAAAGGGGAGCTATCCTACTCGCCCCGGCGTCGGCGTCGGCGTCGGCATCACACCTTGGTTAAGTTTTTCGTACCACCCCACTTTATTTCAGAAGTATTACAAGTATGGCTTTGAAACTTACCATACTTGTTCACCATCATAACCTCCATCTACAGACAAGAGTACATAACTCTGTCAAGGTTTTTGACAGAATTATGGCCCTTTTTTGACTTAGAAAGTGTATTGAGCTTGGTTAAGTTTTTTGTACCACCTCACTTTATTTCAAAACCATTGGAGGTATTGCTTTGAAACTGACCATACTTGTTTACCATCACGACCTTCATCAACAGACAAGAGGACATAACTCTGTCAAGGTTTTTGACAGAATTATGCCCCTTTTTGACTTAGAAAATACATTGAATATGGGTAAAATCCACTTATTGCCTTAACCCTTTGAGATATTGCTTTGAAACTTTTAATGCTATTTCACATCATTACCCCCATCTGTACGCAAGAGAAGGTAACTCTGTCAAGGATTTGTTTTAAAAATTAAGGCCTTTTATCGACTTAGAATCTTGGTTAAGTTTTTAGTACCAGTCCACTTTTTGACTGAACTGTTTGAGATATTAATTTGAAAGTTGGAATACTTGTTTACAATCATGATTCCCAAACATGTCCAGGAGAAGGTAATTCTGTCAAAGATTTTATTTGAATTATGGCCCTTAACTGTCAATGTTTTGTATTATAGGCAAGCACTAAAAAACTTAAAAAATCTAAAAAAATTCATTCCTATCCACTGAACCTGCAGTGTTCAAGGGTATCACACAATTCAGTAAAATAATTCTTCACTAAATATCTTAATGCTCATGGCCATTGTTCACTTTAAAAATACAGAGATTCTTGTATTGCCTTTTACTGCAAAAACTTTTTTTATTGGCAAGCAATAAAAAAGTCGAGCGCGCTGTCTTACGGACAGCTCTTGTTTAATAAGTTACAAAGCTAAGTGGATGGTTCTACTGAACAAAGACACTGATGGGTGTATAAGACAGAAAAATTTGAAAGTCTTTGTATGACAACAAAACTGCTTTGTAAATGTGGCTTTAATCCCAAAAAATTCCATGTATGTAAAATTTGTAAAATGTACATAATATTTGTTGTAGCAAATAGTTGTGTTCCCAACATCGGTTGTTCATTGCTATATTACATGTGTTGGTGTAAATTTTTAAAACCCAACAAACCCCGTTGTTTATTAAGTACAACAAAGTACAAAATGCAGTATCTTTTCATGAAAAAAGAAAGTCAATATTGAAAATCGTAAGGATTATATTAGTATGGTGGCTTAAAAGTTTATCTAGGTTATAAGGTCACCTAACCATGACCCTCCTAAGATTAACAACATGTATTTTGTTTGAAAACAGGCTAACAAATATATAATATTTTCAGATTAAAGACAGTAATGGATGAGGATGTGGAGAATTACTATGCCACAATAGCCAAACGATCTTCACTGAATGATCCGAGGTATTGTCTTACCTTTCTTTAACTATGCTGTCTGTTTTGCAAGAGAATTCTATCTATGAATATCTTACTAATTGCTGCATTAATTTTGTTTGTCTGTTGATCAGTTTTAGTCTTATAATAAATTTCAGGAGATATTGGTTGTGTTTATTTTCAGGGACGATGCATTGGCACTTGGAGAGACTGCAGCTAGTATACACAACAAACATATTTCTAACTGGGACGCACCTTTACAAGAAGCCAAGGAGAAAGCCCTGACACCAAGGTAACCAAATCATCTCAATTCTTTATTCTTTAAGGCTGAAAAGCTATGAAAGGGCCTTTATTTTGGTCAGATGGATGTACAACAGGATATGTTTTAATATAATATGTCTTAAACATGAAAAAAGGTATTGAAAATAAAGTTGGTTGTAATAAATTTAAGAATCGGTACTCTTAAGTATACAAAGCTTTATTTGGCTGTCCATATCAATAATTAATAGGTTAATATTTGTATCTACCAAAGTACCTTAATGATAGACAAGCATTCATAAGTTCTGATAAAGCTCAAAAGACATGCAAAAAATCACTGTTAAAATAATGTACTTAAAATAGCAGTTAGTTTAGGTTGAACATTCTTATCTCTCAGAACACATGTTTCAATTAACAATATACACAAAGCATTTCAAATATTCTAAAAAAAAACAGGATTAGAATGAAAGCAGTTTGAATATTTCATATGAAACAATTTATTCTTCTTTTTTATTCACTGAATAACAATCAATATTCAAGGCATTTAAAGATCCTGTAACACAAATATTTTTATGATTTATCATAAATATGATGCTCAAATTAAGATTTTTCATTTTTGTAAGTTCCAAAAGCATTAGTTATAAAGAAATTACCGAATTTAACATTTCATGAAAATAAAGGGAGGTAATAAAAAAATTATTTTCTATAAAGTCTAAGTCAAATCTTTCAATAGAAAATGAATACATATATTTTAATGATTACATATAATATGTACAAATATTTGCAGTACATATTTTACATATTCTTCGATATTTGAAAATTGTTTTATAAGCATAATAATATACGTATATATAATTTCACTTAAGTGTGGTATACAACCTCAATTACAACATACAGGATCTTTAAATGATGAAAAGTGGTATACACATGTACATATATATACAATAATGAAAAACAAGATAAGCTTGTTACTTAAATTTAAAACAGTAGGATTTGACCTGGAAAGTACTAACACACTTTTTGGCATCTGAGTAGCCTGTGCTCTATATCATTCTGTGGATTATTTGTTGACATCATAATGATGTCATTAATGATGTCATAACAACTACTGCAAACTTATTGTAGGATTCACATACATGCTTACTTATTTTCCATCTCAATTAAAATAAAAACACCTAGCATGTTTGAATATATATGATTTGGTTACTTATAATTGAGCTTTATAGAATTATTTAGCACAGGGACACTCAGTTTACCATCATTTAGCATAAAATGTTCACAAAGTTTGTATACCCTTTGTAATATAATCCTGACTTTGTTTTAGATTCAAAAAGATTCAAAACATGTCAAGTTATGTCAAAAATGAAAATCCGATTATAAATGTGATTAGAAATTAGGATTAGACAGCAACATATGTTTTCATTTAAGGCGAGGTTGAAAACTGTACATGTATGTGATGTAAGTGATTTGTTTATTTTCACACCTTATTTCTTATCTTATAACATTACAGGACACGAGTGGATAGTGGCTCCCTAGTTACCCCACCTTCCCCACCTATGCAAATGAGCCCATTTGATGCACTATCAGATTACAATGATTTCAGGAGTGGCAATAGCTCACCTCATTTGCATATTGAGGTGTCGGCCATGTCTAGGAGTAGAAGCCCCTCCCCATTAAGCACCTCCTTCAATATTAAAACAGATGAGGTAGATAAGGGTCGGTTTGAGATGAAGTCGAATGATGCATATTTTCAATCATACTCTTCATTGCTTGTAAATCATCAAGTGGGAAATAATTTGCATAAAGACCACTCCCCTAAATTTCAGGAACGCCTACCTATTCCTTTGACTAGAGAAAGAGCAATTGATAATTTAGATTTAAGTTCAGAAACCGGTTCTAGCTCATCTGCCCAGAATTCTGTCACAAGTCATGATCTTGCCATCAATTTATTGGACGCAGCCATAGCAAATTGCTCTTCCCCTGATAAAATTACCCCAAGGGTAACAAGCACTGTTACAACAGCTGACTCCACCTCCTCTGTAAAAAACACGCCCATAAAATCAGAAAGCATTCCCTCAAGGAAGTCGTCAGGGTCTGACACATCAACAAGAGATCGTTTAGCACGTACTGTCGCGGAGGCAATCATAGCAAAGTTAGTAAAAACTGCATGGTTGATTTTATACGGGCTTTCTTAATGTACTTTGATAGTCTCTTTAATGTGTGGTTTGTGATTATTAACTGGATTTTTGTAAGGTTGCAAGGCTGTGGTGTAATTTTCTAAAGTGTTGTACAATTATGTGGATGTTCAGTGTAGGTTGTCTTGTTTGAAAGGGTGTTGTTGTGTCTATATTTGTAACTTACCTGATAGTGTAGGAAATGAACTAGTAAATCATGCATATTTTGGGGGTCAACCAGTCTATGTCTAGGAACAATAAGTTTTATATACCAAAATGTTCACAAGGGTTCGTAGAATACGAAACGATATTTCGTTTTAACCCAAATGGTCGGACAATCAAGAAATCCAAGATGGCGTCCAAGATGGCCGCCAAAATTCCTCAAAAACGGTAATTATCATTAATTGGCCAATGTTTTCAAGAATTTCAAAGTTACTTTTGTCTTCACATATAAATATGATAGGAAATACATGTTTACCGTAAATAAATTGGTTTTTGTCCACTTTTATGGGAGAAATATAAAATATTTGAAAGAATATCATGGAAAATGTATAAAAAAATAACCTAAAAATTAAATTTTATATAAATTTTCATTTCCATGACAACATATTTCAATTTATATTTCCATATTGTACTTTTTTGCAAGAGTACAACTTCAACTCTTATCATTTATGACATTTTTAATGTTTATTGGCATTTTTTTTATGGACGCATTAGGATTTTAAATGGGTGGGGTATAATTAAATTCAGCTAAAATTTATATCTCTAAAATTGCGTCTAATTCTTATGATTGAAAGCCCAAATTATTGGTTTTTTTTCACGTAGACTTCCTTGTTTTCTCAGAAATAAATACAAAAATGTGATGTTTAAAAATACATTGAAATTTCCATCAGTTTTCATGGTTGCCATGGTAACATGTTATAGAAAATAGGCTAAATCTTTCCTTTAAAGATATTTTTGCAACTTTACAAAATATATATACATCATAATCACAATACTTTTCAAATGACATTCTTAATTGACCGTGGTTATAACAATAAGTATAGAAATAAAAAAATTCATTCCCTTGATGATACTTTGCTTTTAAAAATAAACCTGCATGTGTCGGTGTGACGTAAAACCCAATCAAACAAATAAAATAATAATACTGCAGACGATTTTTGTTTAAATAAAGACGATGCTGTTAAAGGTTACAAAAATATCAATCCATTTTAGTTTGTTTTTTTACTTCATCATTATGTATATAATTACATATATTGCAGGATTTGTTTAAATACAGTTCCACATGCATATTTTAAAGAGGTTTCATAGTACTCGGATATGATTAAATTTGGATATGTCTAAAATCAAAGCCACATTTGCATCCTCTCTCAAATTGCATGTAATTATACAATGTTCTTTAAGAGAATTAAGAACTTAAGATTTCATTTTTGTGTATTCAGACTTCATTGTTCCAGTTTTTGATGTTTTGGGCAGGTCAGTAAAAATGTTTGTAAGGATCACGAACAGAACACAACAATTATTTAGTAACTGTTTTGTTTTTACCAAAATTGTTTATATTTTGTGGATATCAAAATCATTTGACAAACTTATCCAAATTACCACTTTCATCTTTGAGCAAGACATCACCTAAATTTCTTAGATATATTTCGAAATTCAAATCTAGAAGCAAATTATGTAATAATGACATTAATTTTCAGCATTTTACCAATATTTCTGAGAATTTTGGTACGAATTTTGATACAGAAATGTTGAATCTAATGGTTACACAAAAAGCATAAACTACAATTTTGAGTTGATGAACTGTCTTCACTTAGAGCGCTTACATATAAGAGAACTTGACACACTATTTAGTGGTGAAGTAATATTTTTAACTTCTTAAATTGAACAGGAATAAGAGTTGTGATCTTAACAACTACAATTTTTATTGATGCTTAAGAGTTTTCTACGGTGGCACAAAGGTGACATGTGTGTGTTTTTATTTATCTCGTGGCCACAATATACTATGTCGTGGCCACGAGATAGCTAAGTCGTGGCCACGAAATACTATGTTGTGGCCACGTGTTACCTAAGTCGTGGCCACGATATACTATGTCGTGGCCACTAGTTACTAAGTCGTGGCAACGAGATAGCTAAGTCGTGGCCACGAGATACTATGTCGTGGCCACGGATTACTAAGTCAGATTACACCATTTATATGAATTTCCCTTATTAACTAGGCGTGTGTTATAGTACAAGGATGCCCCTACTTTTCCAGCCTGTAAAAGTGCCACTTATTCAACTTATTGTATGTGCAATAATTTTACATTTAGCATCACTGTGACCCTGATTTTTGACCCAATGACCTCGAAATTATTAGATGCCATCTACTGATTTGGTGCAATGATCTTTCTGGGTTATATAAACCATGGCTTATCCCTTCTAAATTATTCATCAGACAAGGATTTTATCTAATAGGCTATCTAATGTCCATGGGCAATGTCCTTTCAAAATAAAATAAACCAGGACTTATTCCGTATTAACAAGGTTAACAGGCCGTAGTACGTACAAACTGACCAATTCGATAACAAAATTTGTCCCATCAAAGAGCTATAGTCAAAAATAATGTCTGATGGGCCTTGGAAGGTGACTTTCTAATATGATCCTAAAGACAAGTTCAAAGTGAATATCTTAAGTATTTTCAAAGAATAATGTTGCTTGTAAAAGTAAGTTGTTAAGTTTAAAGAAATCATAATATATATATAGTGTATTCTGATTGATTAATTATCTCGTCGCCACGACTTAGCTATCCTCTGGCTACGACTTAGTAACTCGTGGCCACAACATATAGTATCTTGTGGCCATGAGATAAATAAAAACACACACATGTCACATTTGTGCCACCATATACTATTGTAGATGTACTTACAAAATATTTTTATTGTTGTTACGAAATTGTATTTACAAATTGTGCAAAATAGCACTATCTTTATGGACTCTCAGTTCGGATTTCGCGAGGGCCATAATACTAAGTATGCAATCTTTATGCTTCACTCATTGATACAAAAAGCCCGTTTGTCACTTCTAAACTCTGGTGTATATTTATTAATTATGAAAAAGTGTTTGATACAGATATTCGCGACGCTCTTTGGAAACAATAACTTGATTCAGCTATTAGCTTTAAGATGATCTCCATGATTAAAACAATTTTAGTAAAGTAAAAATGTGTCTAATCTAATCTAAATATGCCAATTTCCAATATTTGTTTGATGTCACCAAGGGGCCAAATGCGAGGGGAGTAACATTCATTTCTCCTTTGTTGTTTATTTTATTTTTAAATAATACCACTAATAATGTAGATCTTTACAGTATGAAGGAAAATGACCGTATTATGCATCCAGTGTACCTCATTTTGTTTGCAGACGATATTGTACACTTTATTAGTTAGCTTACAAGTTAAATCAAAATATGTTACATCCCTACCCCTAATATATGTTGTCTCTTTCACATGTTGGTGATTTATTTATATGATAGCCATAAACGCTGACAAAGATTAACATATTTTCTAACAATATCCGACTTTTAAAGAATATGCTTGTTTGTTTTTTAAAAAAACGAAAACTGCTATACCATACAGAACATTTTTCTCATCATTTTGGATGCAATATCGATACGAAATACCCAAACATGAAGTTGCGAGAGTTTTTGTCAAAAATCAACTCACATGTTTTCTTTTACAAGGAGACAAAGTTACATTAGTTAATATAAATTACTTTCATCATGTTCATAAAATGTTTTAAGTGTGGCATATAACAAGGAGCGAATTTTGCCAAAGCAATTCAACACGATGTAAAAGTTACTGTAAACATTGAACAAAAGGGTGAATGGTTGACGTACCAGACAGGCGAAAACCAATATAAGAAAACACATTGAATAACCAAATTCCAAAAGATAAATATTAATAATCAAGATTAAAGACGCTTTATTTTTTGCAAATAAAGCATTCTACACATAGGAAATCATTAAAAAGAACATTAGCTTCTTCTCTTGAAAGTCCAATTAGTGATGAATGAGTAATTGAAAATGGCACATTTTATACTTTTTACAGATATACGAATATAGCAGATACTGTCTCAAACGATTTGAAGATTCTTTTTTTAATTTAACCATGAACATCAATTGGCATAATTGCACAAACCTATTCTTACTGAATGGTTGGGTTGGCACCATCACATTCCTGATTGCGCAAACACCATATCGGTGGCTCCATCACATTTGAATTTTTGGAAATATTTTTTAAAAAAAACATAATTACATTGTGTTAAAGTTCTAGCAACGTCATTCTGAGTTTTTTCGTATTTAAACTGCATCTAAAATGATAAGAAATATGTTCTACGAGGCAAAGCATTCCTCAATGTTAGGAAAAACAAGTATATTCTTAAATAACGGATTTTTAGCAATTAGAAAAGTTCTACTGATTTACCTTTTCTTACTTTAATATATCTCATAATTTTATATTCATAAACTTCATTTCTTCAGGTGATAAGCGTGTTACATGCTCTAAAACAATTATTTAAACAACAGATATTTTTAGAAACTGTGTTTACCTTCTCCAGCAATGTTTTGATAGCATTGAACACATTACCAAACGAGCCACCGTTTAGTATGGGTGTGTTTAGATTGATCGGGTGTTAAATTCGCACATACTGGTACTTTAGAAGCAACAGTTGTGATTTTGTCTGACCATGCTTTAAGAGCTTATCATAATCTTTTATAGTCATTTGATTCAAGTTAGATATCAAAACTAAATTGCATTTATTTGATTGTACTGTTGCTCCATATTATTATGTGGTTCTTATAAAATGAAAGAAATCGACCTGCTGGATATCGGATTGTGCTTAAATATTTTAGGATTACCAGATTAAAAAATATAACGTGATAGATATTTAAGGCCAATTTCTTGCCCTTTAATTAAAAGTTTCTTTTCTGCTTTCAACTA